TGGCTATAAATCGATTCTTACTCTTCGTTACCAATTGATTGGTGGTAACCAATTGATTATCATCATCATCAACGATTGTTACATCTTTCTTCTTCTTCTTCTTCCTTGTCGTCTTCGTATTGGTATCGTTATCGACTCTGTTTTGTTCATTTAACGATATCTCACTGTGGTTCCCAGGCATTAACCAAACTCGAGAAAGATTCCGACTTTTTCAAAACCCAGAGAGAGATTTGATCGGAAATTGTGTTTGGTTCTGTGTTGTTGTCTTGTCTCTCTTCTTCTTCACTTAGGTTTTGCCCCAATCAGAAAAAATCTTCGCTGGCTCACAATTAATTTGTGTGTTTAACGACTTTATTAATTTATTAATTAATTTATTAGATTCGGTATATCGCTGTTTTTCTATGGAAAAGTTATTTATTATTATTACTGTTTTTTTCTCCAAGAAAGATAAATTGAAAGTTAATTATTATTGTTGGTTGACTAAAAAAGAAAATCTTATTACTGTTTGAGGTATCTTTATTAACCAATTTGAGATATTAGAACACGTTTATACTTGCCATTGTTGTGTGTTTAGTTCTTCCAAAGCAAAAGTTACCAAAATTGAACCGGATCTCGATAAAGTAGTTACGCCGGCTTTATTCTCTATATTCGATTTCAGTTTGATTTTCTCTAGCATTTTTTAATGTCAAGGGGACATATTCTATTAGAGAGTGTACTGTTTGGTTTGGTTTACTGTTTACGGTTTGGTTTTTGTTTGGCTAGTCCAACCATGAAAGACGGGTTATATTTCGGAACGAAGTTATATGGTGGACGATTTTGAATCAGTATTTTTAAAATATCATTAACATGCCGCTTTAATACAGATTAAATCTTCAGTTTATTAAAATATAAATGACTTAGAGCATGATATGATTTGTAAACTTTTATATATAATAAATAATTATTAAATTTTGAAATAAAAATAAATCACGGGACGGGTTAAGAAATTACGGAACGGGTTTATATGGCGGACGAATTTGAATCAATACTTATAAATATCATTAACATGCTGCTTTAATACGGGTTAAATCCTCAGTTTATTAACAATTGTTTCGTGGAGTCGTGGTATACCGTTACTTAATAACAATTGTAAACTATAATATAAATAAATATTTTATAAGGAGATACAATTTACAAAATATTTTTATACTAACTTTAAAAATAAATCATCTCGCGGTGTACCGCAGGTTAAAATCTAGTTCTATTAGAGGGTGTACTGTTTGGTTTGGTTTACGGTTTACGGTTTGGTTTTTGTTTGGCTAGTCCAACCATGAATAGAAATCTATTAACTTAAAACAATGTTTAGAAAATATTTCTTCATTCTTCAAGTTTAAGTGCACACTAACTATATGAGAGTAAACTAGGAGAAAACATATTCATTCGGGCTGTCATATTTGAAGTAATTATTGATTTCAAATCGCAATTTCAGAGATTAATTGAATTTGGTTAATTGGGTAGAATTTTGTAGATTAGGTGAAATTAGGAAAAGAAGAAGAAGAAGAGTACATAGTGAATTGAGTAGAGGTTGAGAAAGTATACATTGTAATCCTAGTTGAACGCATCTATTACAGGAAATAATTCTTGGGTTCATCCCTAGAGGTGAACCTTTTTCATCTACCCCCTCTTAATTAACCAATTAGAATTTGTCATGTCATCTAACTAAACAAATTAAAATAATTAATATTATCTAAATAAATAAATTCATTAAAACCCCCTAAATTGAATTAATTGTAAAATTTAAACTCTAACCATTTTTTTCATAAACCCAAACCGAGATATAAGTTCATTTAATTGTAAAATCTAAACTCTAACCATTCTTTTATAAACCCAAACCGATATATAATTTTATTTATTTGTAAAATCTAAGCCCTAACCATTCTTTTATAAACCCAAACCGACATATAATTTCTTTTAATTGTAAAATCTAAACCTTAACCACTCTTAAATAAACTCAAACCGACATATAATTTTACTTAATTGTAAAATCTAAACCCTAAGCCTTATTTATAAACCCAAATCGACATATAATTTTGTTTAATTATAAATTTAAACCCTAATCACTTTTTTATAAATCCAAACCGACATATAATTTTGTTTAATTATAAAATCTAAACCCTAATCCACATTTGTAAACCCAAACCAACATATAATTTTGTTTAATTGTAAATTTAAACCCTAATCACTTTCTTATAAACCCAAACCAACATATAATTTTGTTTAATTATAAAATCTAAACCCTAATTCACATTTATAAACGTAAACCGATATATAATTAACCTTGTTTAATTAAAAGCATACAGATTTTATTTCCTTAATATTTTTGTTTTGTGATTTTAATTTTGATTTATTTTTAAATATAGTATTACATGACATATTGTTGTATTTTGATTGGTTAATTTTTTTTTTTTTTTTTTTGGGCAAACTGATTTCATAAATGAGAAAGAAAGCTTACAATACAGAACAGTTCAAGGAAACTAACGCAGTCTTAGCTAATTTGTCTGCTAAGAGATTAGCCTCACGGGGGATAAACGAGAAAATGCAGGAAACAAAAGAATGGCAAAGCAAGGCAATATCATGGAGAATTCCTTGTAGCTCATTCGTAACAGTCTCTGTATTTAGCAGAGATATGAGGACTTGAGAGTCAGAAAAAACTTTGATGGAGGTTAATTCCATTCGAGACGCTGCAGTCAGCGCTGCTTTCAATGCTAAAGCTTCCGCAGCTAGAGCCGAGGGTGTATGACGGCGGGACGCCGAGCCCTGATGGATAACCCGATGATCTTGAGTCTTAAATATCCATCCCATACCACAGGAGCCTGAGGACGCGTTCCAGGCCGCATCCGTAAAACAGTACAAGTCCTCACGGGGAGGTAAGGCTTGTGAACAGACCTCAGTACGAGGTAAATAAAGAGAAACATCCTCAATAAGAGGTAAGGGTAACAAACCAGCCTCAGTACGAGGTACATTAGAAATTGATCGCATTCGCGGGGTCTGTAAAATCTCTTGTGCTGCTTGCCATTCTTTAGCTGCAGCAATAGCCTTTGCAACTGTCTCTGATTCAGTGATCACTCGGTTTTCAAAGATTAGCAAGTTGCGTGATTTCCAAAGATGCCAAAGAGTCCAATGGAAAAGAGATGTGTGAGAAAGACCAGAAGGAGGGAGAGAAAGAGCTGACCTAGCCAATGTAAGAAAGTGGCCTAGGGAACCCTTTGATTGGTTAATTAAGAGGGGTGAATTAGAGGGGTGAACCCAAAAAAATTTCTATTACAGGTGGATTGCTTTTTTTTTTTTTTTTTTTTTTTTTTCGTCTGAATAATTCATATGATATATAACTTCAACAAGTTCACAAAAACACACAAAATGGAACAAAGACAATCAACTACAGAAAAATCATTACATCAAGTAATGCATCTATCATCTTCAAAGACAATAGGATTGCTACATACAGCCCTTATTTTTTTTATCATCAAATAATTTATTCTTTGGTCAACGTAAATTTTTACTCTAATATTAGTGGACGCAACAAAATTTACTCTCACTTGTTTACTGACTCTAATATAACATACCAATGTTGGATTTGTCCAAAAAAAACATATTTTCATTAGTAGTAATATGAAAGAGGGGTTGACAAAAAAAATATGAAAGAGGGAAATTGTATAGCATTCATCATGTTAATGTTATACAATTTTCATTGGTTTAATTCGGCTTTATTTTAATAATAGGTTCTTTTAGAATTTAGGAAAAAAAATCAAATTTTACTCTTTTATATAGAGTTTGGTTAGAGTTTTATTATGTTGAAAGTTTTTGTTTGTTTATCTTAGATCAGTTTTTTTAACACTATTTTTGTAATTGATATTTCTCGTCCATGGTATTAGTCTATTAGACCTAGGAATGGATCTAAAAATATTTTTACTGGTGGAAAAATAGGTATTTATAATATTGTCAGACGTTTCACATTATCCTGCATATAAAATTATCAATCATAAAACAATATTTTCGTATATCTTAGGTGGAAAATATATCATCATCCTCGTCCCTATATTTACGTACTGATCTATATTATTGATTGGGAATCACTCAAATATAAGTAACCTTATTTTGGTAGATTAATTACGAAGAATACCATTGCAAAGATTTTTTTTAGATCTGTATTTTTTTTAAAAAAATATCAGACATCAATTGTTCAAACAACCATTATCTGTTCAGATAATACAAACAAATTTTATCTATACTACTAAAAACAAAACAACAAAATCCATAACGAAATCAATTTCGGCCCATGTCAATATGTATTGGGTGACCCATAACAAAATATTTCTGTTTCAGGTAATGACCCACGAAATTAAACTTTGACTTTAATATTAAACACCTTATGCTAAGTGTATATTAATTTTAAACATTTCAAATTAATTTTTAATATATGTATATTAATTTTAAACATTTCAAATATAGTATTCTATATTTTGAAATTTTACCTTTCTATTGTTAGTTTTAAACACCTTAATTATGTTACAAACATAAAAGAAAAATAAAATTCATTTAAAATAATACTGTTCAAATTATTTGTTTTGCACTAAAACAAACTATTTATTTTATTGTATAACACTTTTCTATTATGATAAGTGTTACATCTTTGAGTAAATACACTTTTCTGCAAAATGTATAATTAATCAAACTGAAAATCAATGTGTGTAACAAAGTTTATTTTAAAGATTGATATTTTCACTATTAATTACATATAACAAAACAATACATTTAAATTACAATTTTATGTAAATCCTATTGATTCAAAATCACAACCCGCGCGTACGTGCGGGTCCGGATCTAGTATTCTTTTATTTGTGTGTCCTCAATTCCTCATGTAATGTGAAGTGTTAATTTTCGTTATGCTGGTTTTCTATTGGTTGATAAAATTGGTAAGGTAATTAATTAACATTAACCAAAAAAATGATTTAGGTAAAGCACTTAGAGGGTGAATTATATTACACCATTATCTTTGGAAATAAAAGTTTACAACAACATAGTCTAAAGTAAAATTGACACACTTCAACTTGTACATGACTTTGATAAATCTATAACACTTATTTTGGAAGCATTAGAAGATAATCTCACATCCTCCAAATCTTATGGGACAAAGAAAGATCTTCAATGCTTCAACGAAGTGATGTTTCGACGAACTGATGATAACATTTTCGTTGACATAGAGTTTTGGTTGAATGTAATAACGTCACTGATTCCATGGCAAGATATACGAGAATTCTGACAAACATTTGGAGTAACAATCCTCGCATTGTTCACATAAATCCCGGACCCTCCAGATTTTGTGATGGTGAACATTTTATCAGAGAGGCTACAAGGAACAAGAGTTCTGTTTGGAAAATGAAGCATGTGGTTGATCATAAGCCAAGCAGGGATCGTATGTTTTAGGATAAATGTCTCAAGATTCTCCGGAGTAATGTCTGCATGAGAAATATCGTTGTCGCTAGGCATCAAGAAAGTAATATCTGTGTTCCTGAAGTAATTTGTATCGTTGAGGAAACGGAGAAGGATGACAAAACCGTTGTAAGATTGCCTTCTCATGTCGGCCAAGGCAGAGATGAGATCGGTTTGGTTGTAGTTGTCATGTCTCAATATGAGGTGTGGTGGCTCGGTGGATGCAAGAATCGTAAGAAAAAAGAAAAACAAAGGAGCTATAACTAGGGAAAGAGTTTTCATACTAGCTGATATTAGAATCATCACTCATATAGTTCTAGAATTTGAAAACAAACTTATATACTATGTGGGAAAAGAAGAAGTTCATGATCTTTGCGAGTTAATACTAAACCGGCAAGAGTTTCGTAGTAATTAGTTGATCCATGGTTGATTCATGACTTCAACTATTTTCATCTTTTAAGTGTGATCTAGAATACTCGTGTGGATTTTCTCTCTCTTTGTCATACTTCATTCGTTTCATATAAATCTCATTTTATGATTTCATTATAAATTTTGACTAATAAAATTTATGATTCGTCCATAAATAATAAAATATGTAAATATATTTTTTAAAAAGAATCAAAAATTAATATTTGTTCAGAAGAACAAAGAAAAATTGAACTTGTTTTAAAATCCGTTTGAAAACGTTAAAACACACTTATATTGAAACGGATAGAGTAAATTTTTGATTGAGAAGCTCTTGAGGATATGTTAGTGGTTAGTACTTCCTTAATCTCCCACGGCAACAAATTAAACCCTAGGCCTGAATTGTACCAAACTATGTGTTAAACTACTTTAAGAATCTCTACTAGAGATAGAAAATAAAAGCAAACACAAAACTGCGTTACACCATAAGTATAACCGAAATAAATACACACATATATACATCCACAGTCAAGAAAATAAAAGAAAATCAAGAAGAAGAAAATTAGGAGTTGAGAGAGGTTTAATGAAGAACAAGATCCTTAAACCCGCGTTTAGAGGCTAATCCGATGACACACAACATGTAAAACACTTTCCCACTCTTCACTTTTGCTTTTACTATTGCCTTTCCTTTCTCCACTTTCATCTTAGCCTTACCCAACATTGGCTTCCGAATCTGCGAGTCTCCTAACCGCTCTCGCTCTTCTACTTCCGGTTCCTCTTCTATCGTCTCGAGCCTCCCCTTTAGTATCTCCTCCAAGTCTTTCCCCAAATCACATATCCTCTTATTCTGTCAAAATCACAAAACACCTCTTTTAAAATACACTAATATTGAATATATATGAATTCATAATCTCGAACCTTTTTGCAACATATACCTCACAATCACGATTTAAGTTCCTCTTGCTCATCCGTCGATGTACAACCCACCACATCTTCCTATACACCAAACTCCTCATATAACCTTTCTTGCTTCTTCAAAATTCTTTCTTCTTGTCACATCAATTTCTTTTAAAGATTGCAGAAAATGTGATGGCTTTCACCAACCCTTTTACAGCTTTATAATGATACCTATTGATTCTCTCAAAGTGACCAAAAAAAGTTTATTACTTTACAGACAAGCTTCAATCTTTAAATGTGTTGCTTCTCATTATAGCACATATTATAAAAAACGAGGTGGTTGTCACAAATCATCACATTCTGTTTTGTAATGTCTTTATGTTCTGTAAAGTGATCATCTCCTTTATCATGCTATCTCTCTTCTTGCCTTTTTTTAAATTTCTTTCTCTTCCTTAATTGATGTTTTATTAGTCACGCTTAATCTCCAGCAATTACATTAAATAATCTTTTTGCGAGGATTTACTAGTTAATTTCTTATATTGTCAAGGACTAATCCGAGACAGAATAATGCTGTATAATGAACTTGGAACTCGAAGAGCATCACAGACGCTAAAAGGTTTTCGGCGATTTGCAAATCAACAAACTACATAAAACATTTCTGAAAAGAAATAATAATATAGTCATTTATCTTGTTTAAAAAGCATATCTTACAATTATAAGATATGTAGTCGATTAGTGTTCCTTGTCAAAGTATCATTTAACACTTTAGAGTTTAGAGTTATGAGCTGAATCTTCTCATCCACTAAGTATGTACATGAATTCAAGATCAAAATTACAAGTAGGCATCACATTTTATGTTACCGTATATCGCTTTTTCTATTGCAACAATCTCTTTTCTTCCACTTTCTTTCTATGTTTCCTCTGCTTGTTCTAATGAAAACTGCCAGGTCTCACAAATCGAGTTCTTGAAGAAAAGAAAACTCAACTCATAAACTACTGATAACAACTCTGCTTTGCGAATCAGAATCAATACATAAAGCCTTTTAAAGAGTCATTATTGGACTAAAATATAAGAGAAACACTTAGAAGATATCCTCACGTCTTCAGCGGTAGAAAAACGATATTATGTATGGGTATTAGAAAGTTCTTTGAGGAAGAGACAGGATTTAGATGTATTTCAAATTGAAGATACATTTAGCTATAAACATAGTGCTACGTTCCTCTTAGAGATGAGGAGATAAATAACTTCTGCTATTATTTGGTTTCAACACCGAATTTAAACAAGGTAAAACTATCAAGCATGGATAAAGATGCAGCCAAAACTTACAATGTTTAGAATAAATTTTTGTTAGTATAATATATACAATGGTAAAGACGTAGAAATAAGTTTTAAGAAAGTAGCTCACTTGGATCAGTAGTCGTTACCATGCATGTATTGTTAAAGTAACATGTTGATACAAGACTATGGTTAGGATGATTAGAGTAGGCTTAGGACGTTTTAATTAATTAGTTTTGGTGTTTTCTTTTTAATTTAAAAGCAATTACGTATTTCTTTTTGACATTAGGTTTAGGGTTGGTGATTTTCCTTTTTACCTTAGTTGTGTAAGGTCTATATAAAGACCTCTTATGATTAATAAAGAATCAAGCTCCAACAATTAACCTAATTCTCTAAGAGAGACTTGGGTTAAAGGGAAGCTTTTGCTTAAAAACTTTGGTCCATAACACATGTCCATAACTTTCTCCCGTTATGCTGGAAGTATGGATCCATTGCTATTGACGCTTGAATTTGAAGAGACTTGGGTTGATCGTCGTCGTAGCAACCATTGCTCATTTTGAATGAACTGCAGTCAACGAATTGACATACAAATTCAAGGATATATATCACCAGGAGAAGCAGAGTCCTTAGCCACACCAAGTAGTCGTCCCGTTCTCCGTATATATTGCTTTGTTGATTTTTGTCGGACGAAGATTGGACTTGTAATAATTCACTTGCCAATCATTTTACTTTGTTTTTTGGTACCGTTTGATTTTTTAATGCATGAATTCATAGCCCCTTTTACTACAAGTCAAAAAAAAATTGTGAACCTTTAGGTGTCACTACCTCCGTCACGTTTGTTATCCACCTATATTTCCCTTCCGTTAATATACTCGTAAACATATATTTACACAAACATTAATATTCGAATTAGTTAATCTATTTTATTATTAACTATTAGTTAATCAAACATGCACGGCGAATTTTAAGCTATTTTTTCTGAATAATCTTATTTATAGTAAAAAATATATTTTATTAGTTAAATAAAAAATTCATTATTTAAAATTTATATAGTGGTTATGTTTGGTTTCATAATATATCTTAAATACAACTTAGAAATCAAATTGGATTATTTTTCTGGTCACCAAATCTCCTAGTTGAATTGGTCCGATCATGTAATTGTGGATGAATAGCTTAATAGATTTTCTTAAAAATTATACAAATATATAAACATAATTTAAGCAAACTTTAAGCAAAATATAAGCATAATTTAAACATATGTAGATATGTTATATACATCGGTGATGTAAAAACTTGAATATTATATGCAAGATAAATGTATGTGTAAAATGTTATAAATATATGCTTATAAAAGTTATTTTTATCTTATAACATAGCTGCTTTGTTTGAGGTTGAAGCTATATGAGGAAGTTGAAGCTTCTTTGTTTCAGTATGATGGTGATGATGATGAGGATGACGACAACGTTCATTGAGACGTTGTCGTCAACTTTGATTCGGATCACTCCGGCCAAGACGAAGAAGAACCAGTTCAACATCCTCAACCAGCTCTTTTTTCCATTTCTCCCCAAAAATTTCAATTCATGTCCAATACCGAATGTGAAATATTGTATGTCTTCTTGAATTCAAATCGGACGGCGAACCGTTGGCAGATATTCCATGCCATCACGCGTTCCACCTTGGTTGTTTGATTAAATGGGTTAGAGAATGCCCTATCTGTAGAATCAGTTTCTAAATTAGAGAATAAATTGGAATAATTTAACTTTTAAATAATTAATAAAACTTCTTATTGACTTACCTGTTTCAACTAATTTATATGGACTAGAACAGCTTTACATAATGATTGGCTTTCCACGACTATTTCATATCAACCCGTTTATATACAAAATCTTATATAGAGCCCTAAATACTTTGTAAAATTTCTGCTTATTACAAACATCAACCTCTTAGAAGTGTATTTTATATAGAAATGCCTTGAATTTTTGAAAATCACTTACTCTCGATTTCAATAAATCTTTTCACCAAATGTCTCATCGCTTAAGGTTTAGATGATGAATTAATTTTAGAATGGTTTTTTAAAAAGTTTTGATTTGAAAACATGTATTAGAATTTGTTTCATATAAAATGAAACTTTTATTATTTAATGATATTTACATTTTTATCAAAATAGAAAGAAAAAAAAAATTAGGTTTCGCTGTAAGATTTTTATCATCTGTTTGCACTTCTTACTGATATTTATAACTTTTGTAGATCAATGGAATGCCTTTTAACAAGTACACGTGGTTAATGAATGACAGATGATGTAGATTAATAATGTGTTGTAAAAGATATCAAAAACGGTATTTTGGTAACATATGTATGAAATAATTTCTCTAATCCTGTCATCATGTGTGATGTTGATGTTGTGTTTTTTATCATTTACCCAATAGTAGCACTTTGCTTTTGGACTAAGGCCCATTAAAGGCCCATGACAAGTAACCCTTACAAAACCAACGCATTTTTGACTTGGTGACGAAGACACACGCAAAAAGAGGACCTTTACTCTCTCTCTCTCACCACTTTCACGTATTTCGAAGCAAAGTTCACGTTTCTTCTTCCGTACATTACAATAAAACCCTCTTTTGACTTTTAAATACGTAATATTAAGGAAATGTTTAAATTGCAAAGTCCAAACTTCAACTAAACGTTATTAATCAGACCAAACAACGAGATAATACAGTGATTAATCCGAGCATAAACACAATTAAAGACGAAACAAACACTTAAAAGATAAAAGCCTAAACCATTTAGAAACAATAACAAGGTTCGTGTAAGTGAAGAAATCTACAAAAACGTCTCCGGCGGTAGAAAAACGCCGTTCTAAGGCGAGACCAAACGACGCGTTTCAACTTCCGAGCTGATCTAAATCTTGTTAACACAACTCGTTTCACTCTCTTAACAGATCTTGAAACTTTCTCAGTGAAACTCTGTTTTCTTGAAAACTGGTAGCTTCTGAGAAACAACTGTCTCTTCTCCATATACTCTCCATAAGTACCGTAGTAGTCACCACCACTACTGCTTCTGAACACAAGCTTCTCACTCATCGGAAAACGCTTTAGTCGCCGCCACCGCCGTCGACCGTCGTAGTCACTCTCTATCTCTCACTCTCTCTCTCTCCAAGTACTTATAGATGTTTTGGTTTATGTTTTAAGCACTGTGTTCTTATTGGCACAAAGTAACCTATGTGCTCTCTCTCATGTGAAAGTCTTTGTTCACGTTAATACATCCAAAAATATCTGGCAAGACTTTAATGTTAACCTATTCCCAAGAAGCAAACAACATTCCACTAACATAAAGTAATTACAGTGAATGTTATGGAAACCATTTGTTTCGAGAATGAATGTGTATTTTTCAATCAAATTTACTTCTTTTTATGAGGCCATTTTGTTTTGAAAATGTAAAAAGAATACTACTTGTGTTTTCTTTTGTTTAATTCCCATACATTGAATCAGAAGAATTTAATGAAAATACTCTGTTTTTGTTATTGAAAATTTAAAGTTTAAAGATTGTTATATTAATAAAAATTATAAAGCATAATTTCAATCGTTTTTTATTTAAAAGAGAATCAATATCGATTATAGCAATCTTATAGTGAATAATTCTTTTTATTTATTTAGTCCCTTTTGTGGTCACAGAAGAAGAATGAGAGACCTAAATAAATAATACAAGTTTGGTGGACAAAAGTAGTGGAAGTGTAGTTAGGTGTGTGAAGATGTGACAATGCATTAAAGAAGGATAAGCTAACTCCTATGCATTTATACTTTGCTTGCTATGGTCAAAACCTAACCTTATGTTAAGAACAAGATCTATGTTTGCAAATGTCATCACAATACTACTTACAAGTTCAGTCACCATCTGAATTCAAGGCCTTTGTTTTCTTACTAAGATCTCAAACTTAAGAAACTGATGCCAACAACACACTAAATATATGTAAACATTATCAGACTCTGAAACTCATTTGGTTACATGTATAAAAAAAAAGAATGTTCCTAATTTGCTACGAGCGATTCACAAGCTTGAGAAGTAACCAACTGGGAAGTTCCATATCCTATTTATCTACAAAGCAGGCAAGGACAACAAACATGCTGCAACAGAAAATGCCAGAAGAAGACTCATTGTATAAAGATACAAAAGGTAAATGGGTTTATAAGCTTTTTCATTTATCCTCAAGTCTCCAACTAACAACATCTTCTCCAACTAAGAACACACCTCAGATGATTCATCTGAATCCAACTATTAGGAGCATGTTTTGTACCTGTTAATGGTGATTTCTACATCTTGTCTGCTCCTATCTAGGCCCACTTTCACTTGCAGATGGGACATTGCTGGGGAAACTAGATAGATCGATGTCAATGAGCGACATATCATACATTGTATCAAGAGAATCCGAGGCATCCACAAGCAAGGAAGATTTCACAGCATCAGAGCGTGCAGGATCAGAAGTTACGCTAGAGCTTTTTGGTGAGCTTGCCTCTGAAGATAGACTACTTGAAACCGAAACACCATCTATCTTGTTTGCATACACGGGTTTGTTCTTTCTCATTGCATCCATTTCTTGGCCTGTTGGCACAAAAGTTCTCGACCGGTACTTCTTTGTTCCCTCGTCACCACCATCTTGATGGTTATAGAGCACATAATCGTGATAGGTAGGAGCAAACTGCAATAAACAATCATCAGGAAACCAATATGAAAAAAATTATTATTTGAAATAAAGATGGTTTTAAAAGAAACCAGTTACCTGGTGAACAGTGTCATGGTAGAAGTCATTTAGTTTTACAGCATGTGATAGGCTCCCTGAGAAACTGCCAGATCCACCAACATTGGCACCAGCATACTCCTTGTATGGAAAAGCATAGAAATGGCATGCTGCAGCAATAAGCATCTCGACACATATTATAAAATTTTGAAAATGAGCTGCCGCCTCTGCACTCTTTATGAATCCAGATTTTGCAGCAAGGAAAACGAGAACACCCTGTACAAAGAGAGGGTCAAGGAACACAATCAGAAAAAAATGATAGCAATAGTTGATGTCAAATATTTTAGAGTCAGAACGCATATTTACCTGCCAATAGGTGAGAAAGACCACAGACTTTATAATCACAAACTTTGGGACTGGATTGAATGGCTGAAGTAGATCTCTGCATGCCATATAAAACAGCACAAGTGCGTACAAAGCCACTGTGTATGATATGGTATAGATGATGGTAAGATAGAGATATGCCTGATCAGGGTTAAAATTCCCATCCTTGTACTTCCCTTTCGCATATAGCACAAGTGTGACAGCAACTAGAATAGGCTTCAGGATAACAAACTGCAGACAACCTTGCTTGCATCGTCTAATAAAACGCCTGCATCGAAAAAACCATGGTACATGTGCCAATAGATGTCAGCTAAGAGGACTGTCTTAAAAATATGCGAGCTAAATAAGCATCATAATGAGACTGAGAGGTCCAAACAGAACATTCAATGTCTCTGATGAAACTTAAACTGTGTGCAACTAAATGGTTGTCTCTGATGACAAGCACTTATATAGATTATTAACGTGATTATACAGAATCTAAACATTCGCACATGTTGTATGAATTGCACAGAAAATGGTACTGCACAAATGATAGGAAATATCGGGAACGACTATGTAAACACAGCCTTTATTGATATGTACAAAGAACTTGGTTTCAAACTTACCCGTCCAATGTTAAAGGCGGAAAGCAACATGTCATGAGAGACCATGATGGCTTTAGAGAGCGACCACTCAAACTAAGCACTACTGATCCTGGGCCTCCAACCCATGCTAAACACAGCGATAGGAAATTGTAAATAACCCATGCTTCATATCTGGAACACCAATAAGGTCATTAGAGACATAAATGCCATTAGGCCAAAGGCCATTGACTTTAAAAGGAAACAGAGAACTTTCTAAGACCTATAGAGGCACTCTAAAAGAAGAAGAAAAACACCACTAACATCGTCTATGCTCATGTTTCAAGGATCAGAGATAAGTTGCTCTAGTTGTATATAGGAAATACATCAACCAATTCACAACTAGAAGTTTAGGAATACTCACACTTCTCGAATGGAATCAAAATATATCGAGCTTTTGGGTAACACAAGAGACAAGAATGACATTAAGGCATAAACCTGGCAGCAAGAAACAACATCCAAGAACATGTCAGTGAGACAGAATTCAACATGTTAAAGACTAAACAATTCAAGTTAGAGATCATCAACACTAACCGGGACCATGAAGACGATGCGTACAATATATCTCTGATAAGTTGGTTCCGTGTAATTCAAAAGATGCCTGTAGATATGAAATATCGCCAAAGCAATAGCTCCACCAGTACATAGAAACGCCACAATATTCAGATAAAATGGTATCAAATCCGCCATCTGCATAACACAAAGAACAAACTCATCAATACTATAATCAAAGCAAATGCAAAAAAAGAGATATTTGGTTACAACAAACCTCTACAAGAGCTAAGACGGATCTGTGAAAAAAACTTCAAATCTCCTCTTCTTAAGATATCAAAAGGGTTATGAAATTGAAGGGTTTCACCGAAATCGGAGCAAGAACACGAACCCAATTCCGCGATTTACTAAAGTTGGAAACTTTATGTCAGAGATCGAAGAGAAATGACGCAAAACGCAGAATTTGAGACACGATCCAAACGCAATTTAGGGGAAAGATCGTACCTTTGAAATCGAAAGGCGAAGAGGACAATGTAACCGTAGTAACGAAGCAAAACAGAAACAGAAAAACCCTTCGAGAGAGGAATTTGCGGAATTTGTGGATGAGGGTTTTTGAGAGAAAAGCCTTTCTTCTTCGTTTAGAAAGGAAAGGAGAGAACTTTATCACAGCAAAGCAAAGTTCGAAATGCAGAGAAAATTGTTAAAAAGGAATGATTTTTATAATTTTGGTTTTGTGAAGAGATTATTATTTAGATGAGCAAAGAGGTGGAATCGATTCAACGTCCATCCAATCCAGCCTGTGAACTTCAAACCCTAAATTATTTCATATATATATATTTTTAATTTATTTTTGGAATAATCTTTTTTGTTTAACATATTATTTAAAAGTCTACCCAATTCAATGATTTCAATTATTAATTCACATTATAAACTAATAATATGATTTGTCGGCAAAGGATATAAATCTATAGCTTTTGTGATCTGCAATAGCATTTTTAGCTATAAAGAAAGAAAAAACGTTGAATTTTACTTTTATTTGTTATATCAAATGAGAAAAAAATATTGAAAAACAGTTTGGTATTAAATTATTGATTGTAGTTTAAGAATATTTTGTTTAATATTAATATAGATGTATATAACAACAATTTAAATGTTAAAGGATACATTTTATATGTACTGCTCATTGATATATTTGTAATCTTTCATTAAATTTAATAAAGAAGACGTTTTAATTTTTTTTTTAAAATAATAGATTGCAAGTTTGTATGAAAATATTAATCTCTGTGACAAATTAGATGTAAAAAGTGAAACATATTATAAAATATATGTTATGAAGTTCAAAAAAGAATTAGAAAATCTCAACCTATTTTGCTATGACAAAATTCACCATTTTGATTTTTACTTACAACCATTTTACTTTCCTAATTACCCTTTTATTAATCTACTATATTTACAAAAAAAAATTTAAAAAAAGAAATGAAATTTTTTATTCTATATAAACTACAAAGGGGGATGAGGATCCTATACTCGGTTTTTCCTTTCTCATTTGTTATGTTCCTTATAACCGGTTTTTTTTTTTGGAAGATGTATCATCTTTGACAGTGACATTGTCTTCCGTGTATCAATATGAAATCATCAATAGTATTCTATGGTATTGAATAGATTGTTTTGGTGAAACTACCTTAAGACGTCTCAATTTCAACAATGGAAGTTAAAGTGATCTTCCACTATACATTCTACTAGTGGTGGATAATGTATGACGAATAAAAAGAGATAAAAATATATGTTAAATTTCCAGTTGTGAATTTATCGATAGATTTCTGGACAACAATGATTATAAAATTTACTTCAGTTTTATTGAGGAGGATCATGAAGTGGTAAAAAAAAAAGTTTTTAGGAGGACAAAGATCATATGGGCAATTACGGCACCCATGCTTATTAGGAGATTGATGAACAATCTTATTAGGAGATTGATGGACAATACATATGGACTTCCATATGCTATGATTTCTAACAAGGGTCATACTAGTACAAATTGGATCATCAAAACCATCCACAAAATATTATGAAAGAATTTCATCGAACAGAAGATACACGAAATAAAAATAATAGTATATTAAAGACAAACATAAAAAATAACATATTTAATCATATGTTAGCGAATATAGTTTTATTTAGAAAAAGATGTAAATTCAACATTTTTGATTGTTTACTACTAAACATTGTTGGGTTGTTAAGTTACTTTTTTGTATACATCTAAACACTGTTTAAAAGCGAGATACTGAAAAAGAAAAATTAAGGAGGGTGAGATGAGACTAGTACTGTAGTACATCCAAAAAAATATCTATATCCGATCCATCCAATGATCCAAACATGGCCAGAACCAGAATGAATGATAAAAGCCATAAAATGGACCTAAAAATATACATAAAACAAGCCCAATGACGGCCCATTAAATCTGATATTTTACATCAACTTGAGTGGTAGAAATAAATAAAGATAGGGCAGAAGCAGAGAAGCAAAATCGTGGAAGGTTACAAAGCCTTTCAAAAACCTCACTCTCTCACACACCTTATCTCCTTCCCTTCTTCTCCTCTCCTCTCCGTCGAGCTTAGAGTATCTCCCAAAAATGGCGTCGACGGTAGGAGTTCCATCACTTTACCAAGTTCCTCACCTTGAAATCTCCAAACCCAATTCCAAAAAGAGGTCTAATTGCTTATCTTTATCTCTTGATAAGCCTTTCTTCACTCCTCCTATCTCTCTTGCTCGTAGAACTCGTCTTATCCACTCCTCTTCTCTTCTTGTTCCTTCTGCTGTTGCTACCCCTAATTCTGTTCTTAGTGAAGAAGCTTTCAAAAGTCTTGGTCTTTCTGACCATGACGAATATGACCTTGACGGTGACAACAACGTTGAAGCTGATGATGGTGAAGAACTTGCTATCTCTAAACTTAGTTTGCCTCAGCGTCTTGAAGAGTCTCTTGAAAAGCGTGGTATTACTCATCTCTTCCCTATTCAGGTTTGTTCTCTCTTTCACTTATGGATAAGTTTAGGTTAGGTTTCGTTTTTGTTTCATTTCCGATTTCAACGTTCTTAAAAATGGTTCCTTTATGGATAAGTTAGCTTAGGGTTCCATTATATCTCATTTCCAATTGAAAAAATGGTTCCTTTATGGATAATCTGAAAATTGTTTAGACTTATCTGTGTTTGCTTTAACACCACAATCTTTGATATGTTTTGAGTCTCTATTGACATGATGTTGTTTGGTATATGTGTATGTAGAGAGCTGTGTTGGTACCTGCACTTCAAGGAAGAGATATTATAGCTCGTGCAAAGACAGGAACTGGAAAGACTTTAGCTTTTGGTATCCCTATCATTAAACGTCTCACTGAAGAAGCTGGAGACTACACTGCTTTCAGGTCTTTGTTTATTTACTTTGGTATATCATTTGTTTAGATGTGACTTTTTCCATTGGGTTTTGCTAAAGGTTTAGTTTTTTGGTATTGAGCAGGAGGTCTGGTCGTCTTCCTAAGTTCCTTGTTCTTGCGCCGACTCGAGAGCTGGCTAAGCAAGTGGAGAAGGAAATTAAGGAGTCTGCACCTTATTTGAGTACTGTTTGTGTGTATGGTGGGGTTTCTTACACCATTCAGCAGAGTGCTTTGACTCGTGGTGTTGATGTTGTTGTTGGAACTCCTGGGAGGATCATTGATTTGATTGAAGGAAGGAGTCTTAAATTGGGAGAAGTCGAGTATTTGGTACTTGATGAAGCTGATCAGATGCTTGCTGTTGGTTTTGAGGAGGCCGTGGAATCGATTCTTGAGAATCTCCCAACTAAGCGACAGAGTATGCTTTTCTCAGCTACTATGCCTACTTGGGTCAAGAAGTTAGCGAGAAAGTACCTTGACAATCCCTTGAATATTGATCTGGTAAAAGCTTTTTTTTTTTGCTTGCCGTTTTGTTCGATTCTTTTTCAGCTAGACTCTGGTGCTTAATGCTATCTTCTTGTTTGGCAGGTTGGAGACCAAGATGAGAAGCTAGCAGAGGGGATCAAACTTTATGCAATTGCAACCACATCAACATCAAAACGCACTATTCTAAGCGACCTTATAACAGTATGTCTCAGCTGAGAATTTGCTGTTTTCTAACCATGGTCGATAATTGACTGGTGTCTTTAGCTCTCAATTCATGATTTATATTCTCTTAATTTGAAGGTGTATGCGAAGGGTGGCAAGACCATTGTTTTTACCCAAACAAAAAGAGATGCAGACGAAGTTTCTCTTGCATTGTCAAACAGTATAGCTACCGAAGCACTTCATGGAGATATATCCCAGCATCAAAGAGAGAGAACACTCAATGCTTTCCGCCAAGGGAAATTCACTGTATTAGTTGCCACTGATGTTGCATCTCGTGGACTTGACATCCCGAACGTAGATCTAGTAAGTTCTCAAAGTTTTGGTACATAATTTATCATCTTTTATGGCATGTTTGTCTGTTTGTTCTGACATTCTCTTCTACAGGTTATCCACTATGAACTTCCTAATGACCCAGAGACTTTTGTGCACCGTTCTGGTCGTACTGGGCGTGCAGGGAAAGAAGGCTCTGCCATTCTCATGCACACCAGCAGCCAAAAGAGAACAGTGAGGTCTCTGGAGCGTGACGTAGGCTGCCATTTTGAATTCATTAGCCCACCAACTGTTGGAGACTTGTTGGAATCGTCAGCAGACCAAGTGGTGGCCACTCTAAATGCTGTCCACCCTGACTCGATAAAGTTTTTCTCAGCAACTGCTCAAAAACTATATGAGGAAAAAGGAACAGATGCTTTAGCTGCAGCTCTAGCTCACCTGAGCGGTTTCTCTCAGCCGCCTTCATCAAGATCTCTCCTCAGCCATGAGAAGGTTTAATTCTCAACCATGCTTTAAATTTTCAAGAAAACAAATACGAGGTCATTGACCTTTCTAGAATGCTTCTTGAGAGTCCTACAAATTGCAACATCCACTATATAGCAACTCCTTTTTTTCACACGGAATCATGAACTGAAGTTAAACTTTTTGGACTGCAGGGATGGGTGACTTTGCAATTGATCCGAGATCCAACGAATGCTAGAGGCTTTCTGTCTGCGAGGTCTGTTACTGGTTTTCTTTCCGATGTTTACCGTACAGCTGCAGATGAAGTTGGAAAAATCTTCTTGATCGCAGATGACAGGGTCAGTATCTTTGAAATTGGTGTTACTTTAGCAGTAGCGTCAAAACTATCTTCTTTTGGAAATTTATGATTCTGCTATAACTCAGGTCCAAGGAGCTGTTTTTGATCTACCAGAGGAAATCGCGAAAGAGCTCCTAGAGAAAGAAGTGCCAGAAGGAAACAGTTTATCCATGATAACCAAGGTATTGATTCTGGCTTCTCTTAATTTTTCCTGGCTTTTACTCTTTTGATCCAACATGACATATTCATAAGTAGAGCTTTTTGACTAACACTTCACATCTTGGGTTTTGATTGTAGTTACCTCCACTGCAAGATGATGGACCGTCTAGTGATAACTATGGACGGTTCTCTAGCAGAGACAGGATGCCTAGAGGAGGAGGAGGTTCTAGAGGGTCAAGAGGCGGTAGAGGAGGATCATCACGAGGTCGTGATAGTTGGGGAGGTGATGATGACAGAGGAAGTAGAAGGAGCAGTGGCGGAGGAAGCAGCTGGTCCCGTGGTGGTAGTAGTTCCAGAGGAAGTTCTGATGATTGGTTGATCGGTGGCAGAAGTTCATCAAGCAGCAGAGCTCCTTCGCGAGAGAGGTGAGTATTTAAAACAAATCTGTGTTAAAAGCCTTCACACCATCCCCATTTTCAACTGATTGATTGATGTCTTAAAAACAGAAGTTTTGGAGGTTCTTGCTTCATTTGTGGGAAATCAGGACACAGGGCAACAGATTGTCCTGACAAGAGAGGATTTTAGAGTTATCTTAGCAAATGGTTTCTGCTCTTGAGAGAAAGATCCTTGTCCTTTTTTGGTGTTCTTAATGCGAATCTTTTCGTGCTTGCTTCAACCGTTTGTTTCAGACGGTAGAGAAGCAATCATGGAGGAGGATACATGCTTCAGACAGGGTAGAGCAGAAAAAAATAAGAGAGGCAGAAGCAAAAGTAAAGGAGAAGGTTTTCCTCAAATTGGCATTTTCAGAGATTGCTTGAGAAACAAGGGAAAGCTGATGGATCTTCTTATGTTAGGGTTATAAATTTATAATAATAGTCTTAATGATCAGTTTCCATGTTTCTAAGTTTTTGTATGATTTAAGTGGTTTATTAGTCAGTTTATTTACACTACTTTTTATTTTCAGTTTTGTACGTTTCTATTATTGTGTTTTGACAGAAGTAACTATGTCATTATAATAGAATCGTTTTTGTCTTTGATATGATTTGACCTAAATATGAAACAAATTCATATAATCAAAGTTTTTTCATTAGAACATCAATATAAGATAGAACTTCATATAAACCGATGAGGCACACAATTTCGCATAAACCGAAAGATACAAATGGAAACAGATTAAGCCGCGGTGGAGGAAGATGATGGTGTTGATCTAGAAGGTCGTTGTGGAAGACCACATTTCGTCAAACAATCTTGGTAACATGGTTTGTTTTGTTTGCCACAACTTATAGAACAGTTTTTGAAGCACTCAAATCTTGAATCTGGCTTGAATTCATCAACATTCGTTCCATTGCATGCTTGTAAACCACATGCCATCATTATCAATGCCATCAACATCATCATCTTACACACGTTTCCTGTCATTTTCTCTTACAAGTTTCTTTTGTTCAACGGCTGATTTTTTTGTTGTTTGATCGATACGAGATGTGTGTGCGTGTAATGGTAAAGAAGAAGTGTTTTTTATAGTCAGATTTTGTCTTGCTATATATAGTACATTTGCTATTTTTTGGTTGCTTTGACTTGAATAGATTTTTGTTATTTTTGTTTGATTTGACTTAAATAGAATTTTTGTAACTTCTGGTTTGAATTGCATTCTCGTTGTTTCTTGATTTTCTTTTCTATAAAAAAAAAGTTGAAAGTAAAGTATGACGACTATGAAGGTTTAAGAGTGTCAATTAAAGAAGATGGTCGGGACCAAACCCGAATAACAAACAAATGGTTAAGAACGGTAGACTATACTAATTTTTGTGATTAGAACTCTTTTTTTTCAGACTTTTCGTCTCTTGTTTGTACTATATTAACAAAAAAATAAAAAAAAATCAGTTTGGATTTAATATTTTACAATTAAACGAGGAATTATATGTCGGTCTGGGTTTATAAAAGAGGATTAAGATTTAGATTTTACAATTAAAAGAGATTATATGTTGGTTTGGATTTATAAAAATGTGGTTAGATTTTGGATTTTTACAATTATACAATATATCAAACATTTAGAATAACGAATATAGAAAAATCTGCAGCGTAGTGGGTACTCAATTAGTATATTTGAATCTCGGTGTAATCTATTGATGTAACCAAAAGAAGAAAAAAAAACTTTACTAGAAAAAAACTATAAGATTATGTGTGATCAATGAAAATAAAATGGGGGTCAAAATATCCCTTTTACAATACTTTTTTTTTCTTTAAAATAGCCACCACAATAATTTTCATTTTGTATGTTTTTATAAGGTTTTATAAAAAATTTAAAAGGTTTTAGAAACGAGGTATTTCGAAAATAAATTTGGTAATAAGCATTTTCGAAGAGGTATTTCTCATCAATTCTCAAATAAATTAAATTTTTATCACCAAGTTAAATTTTAAAGTTTTGTCTTAAAAACAAAATTATTATAATGAAAAAATATTTGTATGAAATAATTTATTTTCGTTGATGTTTGTTAGTCTGATTTTTGAACACCTTATTGTTTTCCATTTTTATTTGTCAACTATAAATTTTAGTTACATACCGAAAGAAAAATCCAATGGCGAACAAAATATTAAAACCCCATCTTGTTTTCATAAATTTTTAAAAAGAAAATATATTTTGAAATAAATTTGAGCGGTAAAATTGAAATTCTACTCTCAAATGGATAATGATGTTTCACGTGTTTTAAAAATAACATGTCATATATTTTATTACATAACATGTTATTTTTAATTTTATTTCATGCTATCAGATGACACAAGTTTATTTAAAGAAATTCATTAGTTGGACCTGGATTAAAGAATATTTTGGTTAAACTGTGAAACTTGATGTCCACTTTTTTATGATATTGCCACTAAGATTATTTTGAAAATATATTGGTGACTTTGAATCTTTGATGGCTAACAAAATAATCAAACTGAATATTTTGTTGATTTATAACGATAAATTTGAATATTAAATAAAAGTTTATATAGTCGGTTGTAACGAAAAAATACCATACATAATTAATTTAAATTTATTATAAATCTCGGTTTTACATTAATCATAAACATGAAAGATATCCTTAGCACATCAATAAGATAAAACTTATTATAATCCGGAAAAACGTAAATCAGAAATAAAAAATTGATTTTATTGAATAATCAATAAAAATAGATTATGAGGTAGGAGGAGGTGATGATGATGATGATGCTGGTTTTTGTTTTGAAACCCATACTAGACCACATTTCTTCAAACATCTTTTGTAACACGGGGTTTTGTTTCGGTTTTGGTTTACACTACAAATTATGGAACATCTTCTGAAGCAGGCAAATCCTTTGAACATCGTTGGATTGCTTTTACCCACATTCATTCCATTGCATGCTTGTAAACCACATCCTATCATTATCAATGCCACCATCATCATCATCTTCCACATGTTTGCCGCCATTTTTCTCTTTACAAGTTTTGTTGTTTAATGACTATTGTTTAATATATGTGAGATGTGTGTGTTTATGTTGATAGTGATAAAGGAAGTTGTTTATATATTGAGATTTCACATCTTTATATAGTGCATTTGTTATTTTTGATTTGGCTTGATTTAAAGTAGATTTTTGTTATTCTGTTTGATTGGGAGTAAATAGAATTTGGTAACAGTTTGCCATGAAAAAGAATTTGGTAAATAACGTTTGAATTAGATTCTCGTTTTTTTTATTCTTCTTTTTATCTCATTTAGTGATTGGAAAATATGAAAATGTATGAGGTATGATTAGTATTGATTGATTTATTTATTTATATTGAAAACGACAAAGTGATTAGATTTTTGGGGAACAATCATTGATTAAATTTTTTTTTTTTGACAGCCACAATCATTGATTAAATATGGTTAGTCTTTTTTAAAATTTATAATTATAGGAAATTTATATTAAAAAAATTCTAAAACTAAAATTAGATGTACTATGGGTTGCCTATGTAGTATTATAATAATTAAACGAATTTTATATGTGTTCGATATTTTACTAAGTTATACTATCTGTATATAATATAATTTTTATGATAAGAATTATTTTTAAAATATTTGATGTCCAACTTAAAAAAAATGCTTTGAAAAATATAGGAAAATTATATAATAAAACTAAATGTAAGTGCACACACACACAATCAGAATTGTAAAGTAACAAAAAAAAAAAATTTATCAATTTACAAATTCTTTTATATGTATGTTCCACCAATATTTTTAGATATGATATATTTACCAAAATAAAGATCTAGAACCCAAGAAACCAAAAATGTGTTTTCTGACCAACAATGAATTTGTCATATTTTCAACCACAATTCACGTTCCCTCATCAGTTATGCATTGTCATTGATGTATAAATTCAGATTATATGTATATTGCACCAATAATTTAATTTTTCTGCTGGACTTACATATATATTTGATGAAGGAACGTGAATTGTAGCTGAGCCTGAACCATGAGAAACACATCGTTGGTCCCATCCCATTGAGTGAGTCTTCTTCTTCTTTTCTTCCTTTCTATCTTGGTTTCTTGAGTTCTAGATTTATAATCCTTTTTTTTTTTTTGTTAATATGTAAATATTTCATTAGAAAGTGAACACCGTTAGGAGTTATAAGAATGTAGATTCTATGATATTGAGATCCCATGGCAAAAAAACATAGAAGCAAAAAGACAATCGGTCTATCGACATCAACTAAAGCAGTGACGTTTTCGGAACCAATATAGCGATAAATGATTTTGAGGAATCAGTTAAATGAAACCTCCTTGAAACCTCAAAGAGAAAGATACATGTTGTCAAACAACTATGATTAATTCACTGATAACCAAGTGAGAGGAAGTCTTTCACCGGTGAGCCGAGAAGACTGAACCATCAACAATGTAGCACGTAGAGCCCTCAATCACCTACTCTACTCGCATTGCGTGAAAGTGGCTTTACAAACTTTCCATGAGTTCTCTCAAAGTGGAACCACACGAACCAAAGAAGACGATAGCGCTAGCTCACTCTACCAAACTCATTCCCCGAAATCGGTTAGCGCAGAATAAAATCTAACAGTATAAAACTATGCTACAAATCCGATTGTTCTTTTTTTTTTGGTAGGCGGGTAGGGGGATTGACCCAGGAACATAAACAGTATAAAACTATGCTACAAATCCGATTGTTCTTTTTTGACCCCTACCCGCCTACCAAAAAAAAAACGTGGAGAAACATGGCACAAACGTACCAGGAAAGCCAGTGGATGCGTAACATTGATCCCTGACTGTAAAAACCCGACCACAAGCTTCGAGTCCACCTCCAACATTACTCTCCGCATTCCTTTCTCCTAGGCTAGGACGATCCCGTAATATACCCCCCAAAGCTCCGCGAGTGGTGCTGAGCACACAACGATATTAAGAGAAAAACCTCCCAGCCATTCACCCACCGTACCCCGTAGCACTCCTCCAGCTGTTGCGAGTCCGGGGTTCCCGCGAGAGGCTCCATCGGTGTTCACCGTAGCCCAACCATCACACGGCTTCCTCCACGAGATCAATCTCTCCACTCTCTCCCTTAGCTGGTCTCCTTCCTTACTTCGCCTATGTGCTTCATACACCTCCTCCGCTGCGTCCCTAACAAAGCGAACTCGGTCTCGAAATTGCCTTCTCTCATCGAAGACATTCATGCATCTCCACTTCCAGCCCCACCACACGACCATAGCAAAAATTGTTGGCCAACTATCTAATCCACAAACCAAAGCACAAAGCCAACACAAATCAACTCCCCATATGAGTTGTTTGTAATCCTTATGAGCCTCCTTTTGCTTTATTTGTTCTATGAATATTTGAATTTCATAAAAATACGTAAATTTGAGTTGATTGAACTATTTTGTGTGCATGTTTGTATTAACCGTGAACTAGGTTCGGTAAAATATTATTCGTAACTTTTGAGAGCTTCGCAATTTCAACATCAGGTTTTAAACTGTGCACACATCGATATAATCATCTATATGGAATGGATAATACATAAATATATAAATAAACAAAAAAGTTGGTCTTACATGTAGAGAAGACATGCATCAAGAACAAATCAGTCTACATTTTTCAATGGTACTGACCAAATTAAATTTTTGATGGTTAGTTTTTTTTACTTTTTTGTCAACAATTTTAACTAATTTCGCTCAAAAGAGTAATTCGTGAGGAATATTGTTGATTGTATGTTACTTTCTACATTTTTACTTCCAAAAATCCAAACCTATTAATTCACCAATTTACCCAAAAAATAAATCAATGTCAACAAAAATCACAACACGAATATTTTATCTAGTATATTATAAAAATTTAATTGTATGAAATTACAATAAGCCAATCACGGATTGGCAGACAAAAGTCCCAACCAAAATCCCATCAAATACAAAAACAAAAAAATGAAACAAAACAAAAATTATATAATAGGTAAAAAGATGTATAATAATAACAGTAATCATATGGTTAATAAGGTAAAAAAAAAAAATACGGCCAAGCAGAGACTTCCTGGTAAGAAATATGCAACGCCCAGCTCTACCTACAAAATCATAAACAAAACAAAGACATTCATAATCATTCTTTTGTCCTAAAGGTTCTTACAGAATTAGATACCATAATTATAATAAAACAAGCATCAGCTTCTACACACTTTATTCCAGATTCTAAAGTTACCTTTCACTTTTATAGATCAAAACATGAGTTGGTTTTCATTGACTGATGCATACATACCTGATCAATTTATCGGGTTTTCGGTATCTCTTTTTCGTTGCAGCAGCCTAGGCTTCAACCTAAATAAAACGTTCACATTATCATTAACTCAAGAATCTGCAAGAGTATTTAGCTCTAGTGATTCAATAATGGCATCATATTATACTTGGCATATAGTCTTTAAACGATATCACCGTGCCAAGCAGATTTGCAGAAAAACATAAAACTTGTATCAAAGTTTATGCTAATGCATTATTCTTAATCTTACAGAACAATCATAAATCCATGTATCAGACTAATAAACATCAGTTACAATCCTCTACAATAGAGGTGGTTCATCGGAATCTTGAATTTCCTTGTTGACTACTTAGAGAATAGCACAACTATTGAGTTTTACCTTCTCAACTTCAGGAGAAAAAATTTCCTTCACCTCCTCGAATACAGCTTCAATGGGCTTTGCGGCATTAATCTGAAGGAAATAAAAGTACAAACACTTTGTTACAACTTACAATTGTTGGACCTTAATGCAATTAAAGAAGAGAAAAGATTTTACCTTCCTAACTTTCCCCTTAGCTTCATAGTACTGAATCACTGGTAAGCTAGATTCGAGAAACACCTTAAAACGCTTCCTTATAGTCTCAATATTGTCATCCTCTCTCCCCTTCAACAACAGAAATGGACGCAACAATCAATATATGTGTAACGTGAATGGAACAAGAGCCTAGACAGAATTAAGTGACAGAGCTTTTCATATCATATTAACCTGGTTTCGGCCCAACAGGCGTTTCTCCATCTCTTCCTCAGGACAATCGAAGAACAAGACAAACTTCGGTTCAATCTCAGTCTACAAAAATCATCAAAGGCATGTAATTAAGCAAAACGGTATCACAGAAAAAGAAATGCATAGATATCTGTTAAACAACTTTAATGTACTTACAACTTTTTCAAATGCTGCTCGGTTTTCCTCATTGCGAGGGAAACCATCAATGAGGAATTTGTCATTCCCGTTTTCCTGAATAGCTTTCTGTAAAAGCTTGATTGTCACCTCGGACGGTACAATCTTCCCCTCTTTAATCATATTCTGAATCATAGTTCTACAACACCATTGAACAGCTTCATTCAACACAATAACAAAGAACCTCAAGTAGGACAATGAAAGCGAAGGTGAAAACCAATAGTGCTTATGCATAAACATTAACAATTCCAGAAAGTTTTTTAAGGCATACCCATTTGCAGAACCTGATTTAATCTCAGCCCTAAGAAGATCTCCAGCACTCAGATGTGTGTAGCCAAAATGTTCAACAATATAGGCACACTGAGTACCTTTTCCACTTCCCGGTCCACCTATTGAAAATACATCCAAGAAACAAGCTCAGAAGATATACAATAAACCTCAAATAAGTCGAGAACAACACAAGAATCATAAGCACAATGCAATCTATTGACAAAATCGAAAAGTAACACAACTAAGAGACCTAAACTTACCAAGGACAAAAATAACTGTAGGTTTCTTCCCACTTGCACTTCCATTAGCAGCATCAACAGATCCCATGGTACTAAGCAAATTGTTAAAATATTACCTGAGAAGAAGAATCAATTAACCAAATTAGATAAGGCAATGATATTTTAGTGTAACTTATTCAGTACAATAAAACTATAAATTGAGCATAAAGAACATGATCTTTGTTCTTACTTCTCAACCATTTCAATAGAAACATTTCATTAACATCTAAATAAATCAACCAAAACAAAAGCAGAAGATTTAAAGCACAGATCTAAATGCAAAGCATATATAAGAAGAGTAAAAAAAAAAGCAAGATCAAGTGATGTAAGCACAGATAAATGCTGACGTATATAGATCAACAAAACAAATCAGATCCGACAGAAGAAGAAAAGAAAAAAACGAAAACTTTAGAATATTTCAATCGTAAAAATGTGTTCTTTACCAAAATCAAGTGATTTAATTGCAGATCTAAATGCTAAACATGTAGATCAACAATATCAACAATCCAGATCCGATTGAAGAACAATGAACAAAGGAAACAAATTTCATCAAATTTCTTAAATCAAATTGATACCCAGAATTTGTTAGAGAACGAATCTAAGATCTAATTAAAGATTAGACGAAATGTAAGATCGAGCATTGGAGATAATGACATGAATCAAAGACAAGAACACATGTTTTTTTAAGATTCAGAGGTAATTTTCAGACAGAAATTAAGAAACTTTAAGAGAGGCATTGAGAAGAACGCGAACCTGAAGGAGAAGGAAACACGGAGAATTTGGTCAGACGCTGAAAAGTGAGAATCGAAGAAGAAGAAGAGGAGACGATATAAATATGCACAGAGACCTATACATACATATATGTGTATATAGAGATATTTATATATTTGTACATTCCTTTTTAATTGTTTTTTAATCTTCTGTTGTTACTTTTTAAGGGAGTTTTTTAATTATTGTCCATTTGTCTGTTATTTTTAATTTAATTTAAATTGACACCAAACGAAAAGAAATCTTGTAGTGACTGAAATTGTAATAGAAAAAATATATACTTTTTTTTTTTTTTTTTTTTTTTGACAGCTAGAAAAAATATATACTTTGTCAACAACAATTTTGATGAATTTTAGTGATGACAATGAATAATTAAGCTTTTATTTTATAGAAAATTAGGCATAATACAAAAACCAATGGTTATGATATAGGAACAACAACAAGACTGTTAATTTTCGGATGGGTTGTTTGATCTAATCAATGGATGGTGCTATGTACAGCTGTCAAGCGGGTCAAACCCGCTCCGTTAGATCCGTCAAGCAACGAGTTTCAAAAAAAAAATCAGCTTCGCTTGAGTTTGCAGGACCCACAGACATTTGAATAAATCATTTTTCAAATTTCTAAAATATATATAAAGAAAAAAAAATTAAATAAATAAGTTTAAACATAAATATACATCTTTTTAAGAAAAATTTCAATTTTGATAATTATTTTTTATATATTATATTACAAATTATTTTAAGATTTTTCTACTATATATTATATAAATTTATATATAATTATATAGTTTATATTTTTCTAAAAGCCCGCGAGACTTGTGTGTTTATCCGCAAAAACCCGCAATTTATGAACATATGTCTCGCAAGATCCGTTTTTTGTACATTGAAAATTTTAGACCATTTGATTTGGTGATACGGATGCATTAATGTGGTTCCGCCCTACTTGCCTACTTGGACACCACCATGTCGATTACACATAGTTTTTTACTGTGTCAGGAAAGATCATTATCACTTATCACTTACGATGTCCACAATTTAGTTCCGATCCAGGCTTGATAACTATGTTTAGTAACCAAAATCACTTAATCCGGTATAAATTTATTTACTTCACACTTTTAAAAATATGTGATTTTTTAATTATTGTATATAATAGAACGATTACAGACTGAAATCAGCCAAAATGCGAAACAACTTATCAACTTACCTAGATACAACATAAGTTACGGTTGAAACAACTGGAACCAAGTAGTTAAGAAGGAAATAATAGGAGGTACAATCTTTTGAGCTCTAGATAGAAGGTCCAATCTACTTTAACAAAAAAAGATAGAAGGTCCAATCTATACATGATGCTATTCTTGATGTCAACGATTAGAGTACAAGATGGACGAGAGATCTTAGAATGCAACCGACCATTCCTTTCTTTCTATATAGTATAGATAGAAGCCTGAAACACGAGCTTTAAAATGAGAGCAATGTTCCCACCTCAGGAAAGGTCTTTAATCCATCTAATGCAATGCTCAAACAAAGGTGGTGGGGAGATATTAGCCTTAGATGTAAAGAAAGATCAAACAGATGAGAAAAATAGACAATCGAAGAACTGATGTTGAAAGGATTCAGCTGCAGAATTGCAGAGGAGGCAAGAAGTAGGGATGTTAAGTTCCCAACTGAGAAGTCTATCCCGAGTATGCAATCTTTTTCTGGCCGCCACCCAAACGATAAAATATGTGAAATTTTAACCCGATAAAAAAATATGTTCAGTAGAATGTTTGATTCCATGTATGAACACTCGTTTACTCAAACCCCTCATGTTCCGCCAGATGCATTCATCCCCCCCCCCCCCCCCCCCCCCCCCCCCCCCCCCCCCCCCCCCCCCCCCCCCCCCCCCCCCCCCTCGACACCCTCTTTAAACGGCTGGCTGAAAATTAGATATTGTTTTCCATTAATGGTTGAGTCGACTTCAATATTTAAAAAATGGATTAATCTACCGTAATACATTTACATCATTTTATCAAAAATTTAAATTTTGTACAATTAAAAATGATGTCACCATTTTTTTTTTGAACCGTTTTAGCTAGGCCTCTAAAAACCTAGGACTATAGCCAAGATCTTAATCAAATTTATAGATGTAAACGTAAAAATATAATTTTGACAATAAAGTTAGAATAGAGAAGTGTAAAATTGATAAATAAAATGTATTCTGATCCGAACGCAAAATGTTAGCACAAGAAGCCATAATGGAAACTTTAATTTTACCATCACTTCCTATAACTTTTTTTTTTTTTTTTTTTTTTTTTTTTTTTTTTTTTTTTTTTTTGACGGCGAAAGTATAACTTTAATTTTACCATCACTTCCTATAACTTTAAATACCCAAAAACTCCAATTATAATGCCAGATCTTGGCCTAAACGCCAATAACCCTAACACATGGGTCTTGCGTATAAATTATAATGGCAATAGCGAATGACTCAACGATAATATATATATATATATATATATATATATATATATATATATTTGATAAATAAGTTTTGGTTGTAACTTTTAAGTGTGTCACGCTTTTTCATAAGCCAAGGTACTTCGTATTTAACTTTAACAATACATATCGCTGATTTCCATGAAGCGTTTTTTTTTTTCATTTGGCTAACATCCGATTGGTTAACAATTTTAAAATGGCAAAGGTGATATCGTGATAAATACTCATGAACCTGACCTAATTATGAATCATAATCTAAATTTCAAAAAAAATATTAATTATGGAATAGGTATTGGTATTACTATTTGAAGTATAAAAATACAAAGAGTATAATTATGTTATAGCAGAATAATATATAGTGAAATAAGTTTAAAAAATCATTAAGAATTAATGGAGATTAATTAGGTTTGGACATAAAAATCAAGTTTATGAAGAATAGAGAGAAGCTTAGAGATGGTAAGAGGTTTCTCTTGAAAATCATTAAGGCCAGCTTCCATAAACTCTCTCTTTTCTCCTTCGTTAGCTCGTGTTGTTACTCCTGCTATCTTGCTCTCTATCCCCATCTCCCTTAGTCTCTTTGTTGCCTATATTTCAACATTCAATCAAATAAATTAATCAATTATCTGGATATAATCAATAATCCCTTTAAAAATATAGTTAGATAAAACTACTAATCGATGATATCTTAATTTTCTATAGAAGCTAACACTACAAGAAAACATAGCTATTTCCGAGGAAAATTTCCGATGAAATGTTTGGTTGGAAATTTTCATAGGTTCTGAAAAATAAAAATACAGGACCGGTTTTTAGTATATATATTGTTTAAAAATATATATAATATATATTGGGATCTATAATCTCTAAAAACTTATTTTGACAAATCAAATTATACCTTTAATGAAAACTTTTTAGATTACCTACAAGGCTACAAATAGTTTAAGATGGAAGAATTCTCAAATAAAAATAAGATGAAAACGAAACTAACTTAAAGACAACAATGGTAAGATTTTATAATCTTTTTTTAAAAATGTTTTGACAAATTAAAAGAAAAAATATTGCTCTCTAGAAATAATTCTTCTTAATTTCTTATATAGGTGGTAACCAAATTTAGTGTCCAATTCAATTTTTAAACTTTAATATAAAGTAACGAAGAATTTAATGAATAAAAATATACTTGAATTAGTTACCTGAATACCGTTCATGATTGGCATGTCCATGTCCATAAGAATAAGATCATAGTTTCTGCCGGAACAGTAAACGTCGACGGCTTCTTTCCCGTTTGTAACGACGTCGTTTTCAATCCCTAGACGATTCAAAAGTTTCTGATGTATGGTTTGGTTTACAAAACTGTCATCGACGACCAAAGCTGTTAACTTCGAGTCTGCCAAATTTGGAAGTTCTTCAGCAATTTGATCTCTCGTCATCTTTTTTTTCTCTCTTGTCTTTGTGAGAATGTTATAAAAATTCTAGTAAAATTTGTTTGATGAAACTCATAAATATTGCAGACTATATATATAAAGGAGAAAAACATTGAGAAAGAATCAACAATTTATGGAACGTAAAAACAGTATCACTTAGATTGTGTTTTTGGATTCGGAGGAGATCTAGTGGTTTTATTTAACTTTTCTATTTTCAGTAATAAATCTCAGCCGTTGCTTTCTCTAAGATGATTTTATATCCTTTTCACTTATCATAAATATTTAGGGTTTAAGATTTAGTTCAATCAATGTTGATCTCTTGAGATTTTAATTAGCCAAAAACACGATGTGATAAACAGACATGAATATACTCTTTTTTTTCTTTTGGTGGCATGAATATATACTTTAACAAAAAAAAAAGACATGAATATAGCAAATAATCATATATGATTATAATTATAAATATGGTGTACAAAAAAAACAAAAAAAAAAAAGATTATAATTAAAACTATAAAACTGATTATATTTAGCAAGAAATATTAGATTATTATGTAATTCAGTTTTGTAAGTTGATTTGTTGAATCAACTGTAATTTACTAATAGGAAAAAAGAAAATCTGTCATTTTTTTTGTTTTCAAAGTTCTAAGATTTATCAATATCATTTTGACAAGAAAAAGATTTATCAATATTTATGTCGTAGATTCGAAATTTATTTTATAAAACAAAAGTGACACAATGATATGACAAAAAATCTTGTAAATATTATTCCTCTCCAAAGATATCTCTGAGTATATATTATATAGATTATCTATTATTTTTGAATTTATATATTTTATTTAGGTTAATAAAACTGAAACTTGGGTCGAGCATTCATGCCAACTCAAAGCCAAACCGAACCATCAATTATGCTCAAACAATTTGGTTAAGCTTTTCTTCAATCCGAAGCATTCTGTGAAATCTTAACATATTATTTCAATACAAAAATATCTCTCAGAATATATAGTAAAGATTTTTTATATTTTTTTTTCATTTGAATATTATTAATGAAACATAGAAGGATATAATGACCGACGGAAATAGTTAATATCTCCGATAATATCTTCGATAAGATAATCTTCGGAAAATAGTGATAGCTCCCTAGACAAGAGCCCAAAAGAGGAAAGCATACAAACAACCAAAAATACAAGACGATAAGGTAAAAGTTAGAAAATGAACCCATAAACTTTCAACAAACGAATTAACTAGAAAACAATACTAAAATGTAAAAGGAAAAAGACTGCACTAGATAAAGCTAAGGGAAGGAATATCAATTGTCTTATTTGGGAGAGAAACCGAATCAAAACCCATTGCATAGCTCTTCTTTCTCCTGAAAGAATTGATAGAGCCTTGGATTATCTTAAACGCTCCAAACCATGCATCCCTGAGAAGTCGATACTCGAACTGGAAGAGATACCGCTTTTGATGGCAAATTAGCGAACCACATACTCCAAATGTAGCAGATTTTAATGAGACAGAAGAACCAACCAAAGAAATTGAGCCAAGAGCCTCTAGCAAGTAGCATCGAGTCCGTCTTATCACAAAGACATATTTTCCAGGACATTCCGACGCCAAACACAACACCAAGGCAGACAAACAAATCACCAAAATATAAAAAATAGAAACTTCAATCAAACAAGACCCAATTCCAGAACAGACAAAGATTCCGCAAATTTAATAATTTTTATATATTTGATTTGTATCCAAATTAATTTTATTTTAAGTAAATTTAATAAAACTATAGTTCCACAAACTTCACTAAAAAATATTGTTTATATATCTCATTATTCAACATAACTTCACATATGGTAATGAAGCAAATGCAGATTTTATTTCTGACATTTTTTGTATTATTCGCTTTATAGAAAATAAAAGATTCTACAGAGGTTGTGGCCTTGACTGAACAATGTAAACATCTTCACCAACCAAACAACCTTCAACGTCTTGAGCACAGCCAAAGTTTCTTTCCAAGAAGAAACCAACCGAACCGAGTCTCTGACCGAGCTGCTGTCTAAACAACGAGTCAACGGTTAACCGTTTCTTGCTATAGTCGACGGTCAACCGAACATATTTACCATCAGCAGGACCTGTTCCTGACACAAGAAGCTCTTCGCTGAAGTTTGCAAAAGCTAAGGTTTGTACAATCCCGTCGAGCTTACCCGAAGCGAGTCTCCATGGTGTTCCTCTTGTCCCTGAAGCTAAAGTCTCACCTAAACCAGGAGCGATCTCGGCTTCCACGAGGTTACTGTCTGGATCAGCTGGACTCACTGTGTGCAAAACAAATGATAAGTCCGGCGAAAGCATTTCTTGAACGAGAACCGCCATTGAAGCTTCTCTTTGAGAGACACCAGCAGCTCTACGGCTTAGAACAGCTCTTCTTGTGTAGAGAGAAGCCCAAACTTGGCAAACCGAATTCGAAAACACCAAAGGATCTGAGGGACTCACATTGGGGATTGATTCATAGAGTCCTGCAGCTGACATTCCGGCTAAGTCCTCCACGTTAGCACTTGAACGCACAATGAGACGAGCATCTTTGGGAAACGCTTTGCTTATGCTGTTGATTGTTTCTTTAGGCACTTGCAACGTTTTCATCACTTCATGGATCTGGTCACATATGTCGTCTAGCTCACCGCCTTCAGGTCTGGCGGTTTCTAGCTTTTCTAGCAAAGACGCAAACTTTTCTTCCGAATTACTTTGCTTTAAAGCTAATTCCATCGATCCAAAAGGTATGACAACTCCAGTTGGAACCTTAAATGATGCTGGAACTCCGTGTTCGCTGTGCACTGCATATTCATCAGAAACCAGACAGTAATTAAGAAAGACATAAGATCTGGTCCCAGTCAATTTTGTCCCCTCAGACATTAAGAAAACTTTACCTTTACTAGAGGCTTCTGCTAAAGATGCAAGAAGACCACATGCAGCAGATTTTGAACCAGAAGTTGGTACATCTGCATCAGCAAGTGCTATAATTCCTCCACTAGGGATATCCTATGGATCAAAGTTATCTATCAGCAAGCAGTCTGAATGTCAAGTGTATGGAATCGCAGAGATATCATAAGATTACCTTGGAAGAGTAAAGGAGGCTACTGGAAGATGAAGAACTAGTCTTTGATTCTTCATCATCGATAGATAAGCTCTTCTTATCCGTTTTTTTCTTAGATAAGCTGTTCTTATCCGTTTTTTTGTTCGCACTGGATTTGGGAGTACGACTCTTACCCTCAGTTGAAAGTATCAGATTCACATGGCTTGGAGATGCTTCCAACCTGTAAGGTTCATATTAGAAAAAAACAATAAAGGAGAGAAATGAGTTTTCTTGTTTAGCGGGAGATTGGAAAAAATCAATGAAATGATAACTTCGGACAAATCACCTCACGAATTTTCCCACAAGTCGTCGTATATCAGCGACCTTGTCATCGTCATCACATGTCACAAAGACAATTTTCTCCTGTGGAAAATTATGCAAAATGAAGAGTATTTAACAAGGCACTTCTTTAGTAAAGATTCACAGAGGAAGCAAGGGTAAAACAGGTTATTGCCTGCCGCGCTCTAACGCCAAGGTGAGACAAGTGAGGCAGTTCCTGCAGAAGCATGACTCCAGCTATGTTCCCATTAGCAGCACTAACCTGTCAAAAGAAAGTTATAAGGTAATCTTTAGTATGATGATATGAATCACGGTGAGGTTGAATGTAGGTCAAAACCTCTTCATCGCCGTCAGCTTTGTTGACCAAGAGAATAATAGGACCACCACCAGTTGATGGTAAAGATCCCGGCACAATGCTCTCAACCTGCAGTCACAAGAGCCAGAAAAAGATTTACAAATGTGAATTCTTATCAAAGCCCTAACTAAGTTAAAAATTGTCTGCCAAGTATATATGGTGCAGTAACACCCAATCTGGAACAAAAAAGACAGTAATTGTTCCATCTCCAGCCTGTGTTATGACTTATGAGTGTTATGCGAATATTGTAAAAGTCTTACTTATGAAAAGTTCACATATAATGCAATCTTTTGAACTGTAAATTCCTATAGCACTGATACCAGACATCATGAGTTAACAACTGGGCTTTGAAATGATAGTTCCTTCTAAGAAAGGAAAAATGTATCACAAAGTAGTAAATTCAAAATCTCAGTTATGTATTCATTTGCCTTCTCCACAAACCTGAACTAATGTCCCAGAAGTCGATCCAGGTACCACGACGTCCCAGCCCTCAGAACCAAGTGAATTTCTTACGGCTTTTAGAAGAACAGTGCAGAGCTTTGAGATCTGGAAAATTATGCTGTAAGGCAGTACCACATGTACGGTCAGAAGAAAAACAGAAAGAGAACGAAATTTGAGTAAAATAAGCAAGAAAAAAATCTGAAATCTTTCTCATTTGATTGCTTGTACAGCTTAAGCTAAGTACTAGGAAGTAAAGGCCTAACTTACCCCGCACGAATCTCTGCTTCTGTATAGGTCTTGACACTATTCTCTGGAATTCCTAGAGCTTTTCCTAAAATCTGAAAATGATAAAGAACGTTATAATTAGATAAGCAGAAGAGTGATAATTTGGTCCGATATGTCCTTTTTCTGGTGAAAGAAAAGAATATGGCTGAACGAATTTGAACTACAATAGAAGTTGTATCAATAACTTCAGAATGTAAGGCATGGAATAATGTGTACCTCCACATTAGGAGGAAATATTTGAAGAAGTAAATCAGAATATTCTGCTGTTAATCTGCGTGCTCGATCAAGAGTTGCTTTCAGCCTCATGGCCCAAATTGTTTTCCCATCCTCTTCCCCTTCATAGAAAAAAAATAAAGAGAATTCAGCTTATAATAATAGCATGCAAATTCTTTACAACCACAAACAAGCCATACACGTGAAAGTTAAACAGAACAAGTTGACATAAGTGAGAGAAGGAAATAACCTTCTTTTTCAAGTAGGTCTCTCTCTCGCCAAGCAAGGAGTTCATTTCCAATGGCTAAACATTCTTCTTGCTTCCAACCAGATAGACCTACTTGGTGAACACCCAACACCAGAGCATCTAGTGGATCATTCCATGAGGAAACATTTCTTGATCCCACATCTTTTGCCAGTTGATCAGCTCCTCCCATAGTTTCAAGAGCATTGAGGAATCTACTCAAATCATTGACGAGACATGATACGGAGAAATGAAGCAGGAGTTTTAATAACTTCCAAAGCAAATTCAGTTTCAAAAATCAATCAAAATCTTATGCACACCTGCTTAGTAGAACAAAAAAGTAGTCCTCGAGGCCGATCTCACAAAGGCGCCACTAATCAAAAGGAGCAAAATATATTAGTAAATAAACTGGTACATGATAATGCTGGATTGTTTAAAATAGCTCACCTTCTGGCGCATTGCAATGGCAGTATCAGGAGCATCATTTCGCAAGCCGCTATTAAGTTCTTTTATAATTGTTTCTCTTAGAGAAGCCAGAGAATGCATGGTTTTAATCAACTCCAAACCATTGCTTGATTCTCCTGATGCGTCAAGGCGCTGGAAATATGAATTTCGCAGTCAGTCTCATGAAGAGACTACAATAACAAATTTTGCAATGATTGTGTATAACATGCACAATTTATCAAATGATGTGATTGTATGGACACATATCAACATGTCTCAAACATTTCTCCTTTTGTGGCTTTTCTAAAAGTATATCCCCCTTAGCCTTTGGGATTGATTTTCTTTCCTTTTATTAGAATAGAGAACATAACCAAGGATGGGTTGTTTCTTAATTTGATCTGCATCTTTACGGTGGCTAATAATTCTACCCTAGCATTGTTGTGTCATGCAAGAAAATCCAATAAAAATATTGCATACTTACCGCAGAAAATCACCGAATCACAGGTAAAAGAAAAGTAAGAGCTTACCTTTTTACATTCAAAAAACAAATTGAGCGCAGAAAGACCTCTGTCGTCCATGGAAATTTTCATAGAATCAAGTTGTTCAGTGAGGCTGCAACAAGATAGAAGAGCTATTGAATCCTACAGTACATGGGACTATCATCTAGCAAGTTAATCAAATGAAAGAATAGGTTTGGTTCCAGAAATATAGTACCTTCCAGCATTAAAGAAATCTTTAAGCTCATTATGGAATATTTTAAATTGCTCCACGAAGTCTCCACTGTATTTTCCTGGGGTCTCAGTAATTCTTTGAAGCATTGCTTCTGTTGCAATTAGATCTTCTGGACCCGCATTCCGGTGAAGCTTATTTTGTATGGTATGCTTGATTTCTTGCTGGAACAAAGATGTGTTATATGGATACTATAAAAAAAACTGATCTACTGAAAAAAGAGGTGAAAAGGAGTTATTACCTTGAGATCATGAGGAATATCATTGCGATGGGCTATGTCCCTAATTCGAGTTAGAGGGACAGCTGCAGTAAACTCTGCTTTGAAAGAAGGTAAACATGGATGGATTTTCCGAGCAACAAGCACTTCCTACCAAATAAAAGCATATCCAACTTAGAGAAGCTACTATGAACACACCAACTACAAATATTTGAGAGGGAAGGCTGTGAAAGCAGAGAAGTTAAAAGCGAAAAAATGTGTCACCTCTGCTGTAGCATCTTTCTTACTGCAAATGTGCTCCAACTCACGGAATATAAGTCTGGAAATCTCAGCATGCCGGTTTGGACGGTGATGCCCTCCATCTTCAAAGCAAGGAATCTGACCTGTGTTTATCCACTGCATAAGAAGCCAGACAAACAAGAAAAGAGTAAGCAAGGTGAATCCCAGATATATGAGAAAAGATAACTTAGGCTATAGAAAGAAAAGAGAAACCTTCAGATAAATTGCAGAGTATATGAGCGCCTTCAATCGTTCCTCCCTCTCAACACTCCCAACTATAACCTCGCGTACCATTTCAAGCTTGAACACATAACCACATTAAACAATAAGAGATGTTTCATTCTTCCCCATCTTCAAAGGAAAACAAAACTAAAAAAAAAAAAGTACAAAAGTGATACCTTTCTCCACCAGTTCTTAGAGTTGCGATCACCTTCAACCATCTTAAGAGCTGGGCCTTCAAGACCACTAGTATCCCAATTTCTACCAACTTCTCTATTACCATGATCATTAGAACGCATAAAGGACGCATCTTTACCTTGCCATTGCCCACCCAATGTACTCTTCTGAAGCTGCGCACCATTTTCACTCCCCACTACTCTCTCATCACCAACATCATGATTATCCCTCTCGTCCCCACCACCATCATCATTACCAACCTCCTGAGGCAAATCAAGGGTTTCTCTTGTAGCATCCCAATGACAAACAACAGAGAAATTCCCAGAATTAGGAACCTTAAGGACACGATTATCACCAGATTCCCATGAAAGTGAACCATCATCCTTAACAATGACAAACTTATACTCCAAAACCTGACCACCGTCAAGTTCCAACTCACAAACCCATCCATTCTCAGTCCAATTCAAAGGCGATTTCTTTTTCCATGAACCAATCTCTTTAGCTGATCCAAACATAGCCACATGTTCACCAAACGTAACTTGATGATCTAACCTCACATTCAACTTCACTTTCGTACCAGACCCATCTTTCTCCTTCCGTTGCTCCTCTCTAGGGTCAAATCAAAATTCGATTTTTAAAACTAAAACAGACGAAAGAAAGCAAATTGAAGAAGAAGAAGGAGTCATTACATGGTGGAAGAAGAAGTAGCAGTGCAAGTGAGACGAGAAGAGGAGTTTCTGAGTCGGTGAGATTGGTGGCTGAGATTGACCCTGTGAGTGAAGTTAACGAGTTTGGGAAGTGATGATGAGTTTCTGGTGATGAAGGTGAAAGGAGAGCTGCAACAATGGCTGCCAATGCTCTCCATTGGAGTGATGATAAGAGATTTTTTTGTTTGTTTCAGTTTTTAAAGTATCAAAGCCTTTAGCAACAAAAAATCAATTATAGAGAGTTTCGCTTTTTTCTATTGGGAAATTGCCAAAATCACATGAAAATATCTTCTACAAGAAAATATGATTTTTATTCTTTTTTAAAAAATATATATTTTTGAAAGAATAAATAAAAAATATTTAACTCTACTTCAATCTTAAACCATTCTTTTCGTAAAAAATACGTAAAGATAGATCAACATCAATGTCCTAGGAATAAGATACGTCTCTAATTAGAAGGAAGAGTTGCAATTAAATTAGCATTTAATCATAGTATCCTTTAATCATTTTCTGTTGAAGTTAAAAATAGAAGCATAAGATTGACAAAACAAAAGGAGCAATCTTTGCCGTATTTAAAATGATTCTTCCAACTTATTCATACTAACATTTTTGTAGTAACATCGTTGTCTGTGTACTGTGTTATAGATTTAAATTTGAAATAGTGCATGTAGAGCTTTAATGTTGATGTTGGATCTCACACATGAGTTTGATCTTAAATAAAAACTCAATGACAACAAAGTAATCGATAGAAAACGTCCAACCATACTAGCATTCTGAAATCTAACTTGGAACTTGTCACATGACTATCTATTATTTTGCGAAACCTAAAAAATTCAAATATTTTATCTAAAATGGTAAAATCTTGACATTAGTTGGTAATTTAATATCTGAGATAATTAACATTTGATTTTTTTTAACCGCAACTCACTGAAAGAAGAGATTATAATAATATCGCAAAGGGGATCCACAGCCTTTTGAAGCAACAAATTAGCAACGTTTTGTCGAAAACTCTTCTCTCACTTTATTTCTCTTGTATTCGAGCATTTACCAACACAGGAAAAGAACATAATGAAACTCAAACAGGGATCCAACACACGACGGATCAGGTTTGGAAACACCCTCCGTTAGGTTTTATCAAGTGTGATTTCGATGTAGGTTTTGATCCAAATACAAATATTGCAACGGGGGGTTGGGTTATACGAGACAATGACGGCAGAGCAAGAAGTTGGGGAGCAACACGGACTCATACAGCCATCTCACCATTGGAAGCGGAAGCTAAAGCACTACTGGTAGCAATGCAGCAGACGTGGATTAGAGGCTTTCAATCGATTATATTTGAAGGAGATTGTGCGGAACTCATCAAGATATGTAACGGCCAATCATATGACATCTCTATACACGGCATTCACCAAGACATCCTTTTCTGGGTTTCGAAATTTAAAGAAACATGTTCCTATTTACTAAAAGGCCTTGTAATGAGATAGCCCACTTGTTAGCAAAACGTGGATGTTTAAATACATCTTTTTTCTCTGATAGTTTGTATCCGCCATCATGGCTTAGTTGTATCTTGACTTTGTTTTTTTTTTTTTGTAAACCAAAATAACATTAATAAAAACTCAAACTCCACAGATGGAGGAGAGAATACAAGATAATAGGCTAGCATTTGCTAAAGCCTCAGCTCCATAGTTTTCAGACCTTGGAACAAAATGAACAAACATAGACAAAAACATAGAACGAAAGAGATCGAAATCCGCTAATATGCCATCTAGTTCGTTTGCATGGCCACCGGTATTGGACAGAAGAACAAGCTCCCGACAATCCGAAATACAAGCCAGCCTTGATACACCCAATGCTAAAGCCGCCATGAAAGCCGCCTTGAGAGCAAGTGCCTCCGCTACGAGAACAGAGAGCACAAAGGGTCTTGAAAAAGATCCATGGTGGATCTTTCCGTTAAGTGGGTCCTTGAAACACCAGCCCAACCCGCAGAAGATCTTGGATTGAAACCATGCTGCCTCCGAGAAGCTCAAGAACACTTCCATCTTCTGAGGTGGTGGCTGGATTAGTTGGGACTTTATGACACAGATGTTCTCTTCCGTGAAGCCTAGTCCTGCACACAAACCATCCACAACAGAAAGGACGCCAACGCTCTCTCTCGAACCTGCACTTTTCAAATCAAAACCAAAACCAGAAACAATAATCTCCAAAGGCTGTCTAACAAAGTGCCAATCCCTTAGGAGACATTACAACCATTCTAACAAGGTTTTGATCATATTTGAACACATCCTCATAATGAGGTACTTGAAACTGATAAATCCTCATACTGAGGTAATTGGGAACTAACAGAAGGCTGTTACTAGGCCTATGTAACCCATAGCAAAGGGTCACAGATACCAAACCTTCCGACGTCATGTAGATGGAAAGGAGAGCCCATGAGGGTCGGGGCTGCCCGTTGGGGAGAGAGCCGGTCTGAATCCATGTGCACACGCAGTTCATGACGAATCCAGCCCACGAGATGCCTACAGCAATCGGAGCACACGGGAAGGCAACATACCTGTCACATAAGGACACGCAAGGCTGAACCAAACCAAACCAATCCCAGGAGTTCACGGCGAAAGCGAGGAATCTGATGACGACAACAAGACTTCCAGGGGGGACAAAGGGGAGAATAGCGGTGGGGACAATCGATGGAGTTTGGACTCCGCTGCACAGAGCAGTAAACGACTGCAAGTCCAAGTCCCCGTCAAGACAGTCACTGGCAGAGACTTTAATGGCTGCTTGGAGTAGCGCCAAAAAAGCGGCCACCGGAAAAACACACAGAGAAGAAAGATCTAACGATGGAGACGGAATAGGAGCAAAGAACAAGGAGGAGACGGCGGCCAGTGGTGGCTGAGCATAAGAGACACCGTACAAGACGCGGAATCGGAGATCTGGTGGGTCTGGCGGTTCTGGCGGAGTCGACGGAGATGGACGCTCCGTTGGAGGTGCCGTAGGAGGCCTCAGATCGAGGAAAGAAACCGAAAGCTTCGGGAAAGGACGAGAGTGGCTCGAAAAAGACAGAGGAAAAGGAGTCATCTCAGGGAGTAGGCTCGCCGGAAGGAGGCTCACCCGAGAGATCTCACCTTCTATGCAACACCGATCAGAGAACTAAGCTGCCGGAGGAGCAACGTCGATGGAAGAAACTCATCTCCTCCAAGGCTAGCGGCTACCTTGGTAATCGTGTCTGGGAGAGAGTTTTAGGGCGAACTCCAACAACGTGTTGTTTTTGTGTCCTCCGTATCTTGACTTTGTTAAGTCATCAATATAATTAATATTTCGACGAAAAAAAAAAAATAGCCGTAACCAAAAAAATTGTCCCGATTGGATTTCGCGGTTTTAACAGATATTATAACCTTGATTTCAATTGTACTGATATTCGATCATGTAATTGGATATTGCATCCAATTCCATCCACAGTAGTACATATCCTGATTCCTGATGTTCATGTATCATGTTGGTAGTTTAGAAAAAACATTCTTTTTGATCTTACAAAAAAAGAAGGCCCAATGGGCTTAAACAGATATAGGTTAATGGGCTTTATTTTGGGCTTCTCAACCTAATAAGGAAAAAAACAGAAGGAGAGAAAAAGAAGGAATCGGAGAAGAAGTAGGATCTTCCAGTAGTTGCCGCTCTTTGAAATCACTCTCTCTCGCAAACTCGCCGTCTCTTTCTCTCTCAGCTTCTCTCTTCACTGTGAAAACCTCAGATCGCAAATATGCACGCACCGGTTCTCGTTCTGAGTAAGTATCTTCATCTTCCTCCAGATCTCATTTCCTCCAAATCGATATCACTTTTTCGTAACGAGATTTAACTCCTTTGTGAAATGGTTCAGGCGATTCGTTGAAGCGTGAATCTGGAAGTAAGGTCCATCATGGTAATATCCAAGCTTCTAAGGTAAATTATAATCTCTTTCTATGGCTGATTCTTGCTTCTCTCGCGACTGTCTCTGGTTTCCGATCATCGTTGTTTTTTTGTGTTATAGGCTGTGGCTGATATCATTCGTACGACATTGGGTCCTCGTTCTATGTTGAAGATGCTTCTTGATGCTAGTGGAGGTTGTTTTCTAAACCTTTTTTTTTTTAGGGTTTTCATTTCTCTGTATGTGTAGTAGATCTCTGTAGTGAGGGATTTAGGTTTAATGTTTCTAGCTCTGGAAATGTTGTTCTCGTGTACTCTTTCCTTGTTGATGTTAGTGTACTTCAGTTTCTGTGTTAGTTTTATGTAAACCCTAAATCAATTTGTTGGTCTTTTTTTTTGTGCCTTTTACCTTTTCTTAATCTATGTGTTATCATCTTATCGTCTAGTTATTAACACTCTTTGTTTCTTGGATTTCTACAGGGATTGTTGTTACTAATGATGGGAATGCTATTCTTCGTGAGCTAGATGTTGCTCATCCTGCTGCTAAGGTTCTTACTTTTGCCTCTCTGTATCTGTTGTTTTTCTTGTTGTTTTCTTGTTGAAATTGTTTACTCATCCATTTTTTTGACTCTGGTGATTGTAGTCAATGATTGAGTTGAGCCGTACACAAGACGAAGAAGTTGGTGATGGGACAACGTCTGTTATTGTTCTAGGTACGAACATTCTTTGTTTGGTGACAAATAGTGTGGCACTAGCTTGGCTTGGACAAGCGTTTTTGGTTTTTAGCTGAGTGTAAACGAATTAGTTAAGGAAACTCGGTTAGGTGCTGCAGTGTTTTTTTTTTTATTGTGGGATTGAGCAGATCAAATAAGCTTGGGTTCTTAACCTCATTTTTTTTTTCCCCCAACAGCTGGAGAAATGCTTCATGTTGCAGAAGCATTTATTGAGAAGAATTACCACCCCACAGTCATATGCCGAGGTATACTGGGACTACGAATTGGTTGTTGTTGTCATGTCATTCATGTCGCTTTTATCTTAGTGAATGCTTTCTTCTCTGCAGCTTACATTAAGGCCCTCGAAGATTCTATTGCTGTTCTTGACAAAATTGCTATGTCAATTGATATCAATGACCGTAAGTCCATTTCTACCTTGGATTTGTTCATTTGGAGTCAAGTTCCAGCTACTTTTGTTTCTGATGTTGGTTTCTCATTCACGTTTGTACTGATGGAAGAATGTGTGAGTTGCAGGTTCGTCAGTGCTAGGATTAGTCAAGAGCTGCATAGGGACAAAGTTTACTAGCCAATTTGGAGATCTAATTGCTGTAAGTATCTTCATTACCGTAGCTTCTTACTTATGCATTACCTGCCCAGGTTTTATTACTCCGTAATATATATTGGACATGTCTATGCAAGTAGGCGTAGATACATCTAGAAGTGACTTTTGAAATGTAAGATGAGTAACCGTGTCCATGAAATAACTTGAATTTATGACTGCTTTCTTCAATTCTACAGTTTTCTCCTGTCTTTTTGTGGTGCTCGTTTGTTGAAATATTTGTAGGATGAAGTTTTTTAGCAGATGGCATTTACATCTCACATATTGAAGTTTTGACATTCAAAATTCATCTTGACACTTTTTTTCTCGAGAACTTTAATTGTTGTCGAGTACTGTACTCACATGATTTTATATGACTTTATTTATGTGCTCTTTTAGGATTTGGCTATTGATGCCACTACTACTGTTGGTGTTGATCTTGGGCAAGGTTTGAGGGAGGTAGACATTAAAAAGTACATCAAGGTTGAGAAGGTTCCTGGTGGTCAGTTTGAGGACTCGGAGGTTCTTAAAGGAGTTATGTTTAACAAAGATGTCGTTGCTCCTGGTAAAATGAAAAGAAAGATTGTCAACCCACGGATTATTCTTCTTGATTGCCCCCTTGAGTACAAGAAAGGTGAAAATCAAACCAATGCTGAGTTGGTCAGAGAAGAGGACTGGGAAGTGTTGTTGAAGTTGGAAGAGGAATACATCGAGAACATTTGCGTGCAAATACTAAAGTTCAAACCTGATTTAGTTATTACTGAAAAGGGTCTTAGTGATTTGGCCTGTCACTATTTCAGTAAAGCTGGGGTTAGTGCAATCCGAAGGTTGAGAAAAACTGACAACAACAGAATCGCCAAGGCTTGTGGAGCAGTAATTGTGAACAGGCCTGACGAACTTCAGGAGTCTGATATCGGTACTGGGGCTGGTTTGTTTGAGGTCAAGAAAATAGGGGATGATTTCTTTTCTTTCATTGTTGATTGCAAAGAGCCCAAAGCCTGTACCGTACTCTTAAGGGGACCAAGTAAAGATTTCATCAATGAAGTGGAAAGAAATTTACAGGTCCGTTGGTGTTGTGTTATTTACAAACCAGTATTTCGTAATCATTCATTATCTTATATGCCTGAGACATTGTCCCTACAGGATGCCATGTCTGTTGCAAGAAACATTATCAAAAACCCAAAGCTCGTCCCTGGTGGAGGAGCCACAGAATTAACCGTTTCTGCCACATTAAAACAGAAGAGTGCAACAATCGAAGGCATAGAAAAGGTTGGCTTTGCTTTTATTACATTTTGTTTCCTTGCCTAAAGTTGTTTGATCTTGTGTCAAATCTATATTTAGCCTCTAATGCCGAGTATGCTATTCCCATGCTGATAAATATATTTTCTCTTTCTGAATCTTATTTAAACAGTGGCCTTATGAAGCAGCTGCCATTGCTTTCGAGGCTATTCCACGTACCCTGGCTCAAAACTGTGGGGTTAACGTGATCCGTACTATGACTGCATTGCAAGGGAAGGTAATGTCCTGCAGTACTATGAACCCTGATTGCCTTCTCTTTCCCATTGTTTTAGTATATACCAACTCTTTTCTCTATGCTTCAATTGTCGGTTTTGGTGCAGCACGCAAATGGTGAAAACGCATGGACTGGTATTGACGGGAACACTGGTGCAATAGCTGATATGAAAGAGAGCAAGGTAAGGGTCAAATCCCTTACCCTTGGTGTGATTCTCACAACATGAAACCAGTATGACTCCGAGAGTGACTATAACTTTCTACATTTTGCAGATATGGGATTCTTACAATGTGAAGGCGCAAACTTTCAAGACGGCTATAGAAGCTGCATGTATGCTTCTAAGAATCGATGATATAGTGAGTGGAATCAAGAAGAAGCAAGCTCCTGGATCTGGACCTTCAAAACCTACCATTGAGACAGAAGGAGATGCAGACAACGAACAAATTCTCCCCGACTAAGCGAAGAGAAACACTTTGGTCTCAGTGTGTAACTCAATCTCTGTTTTCACTTGTTTTATGGGTTGCAATCTCTTTTGGCTATTATCGTCCCCTTGACATATCTTCTAATTTCGCAATTTGACTTAAGTGGGATAAGATTTTTGAGGATGGGGTTTTTTTGTTTGTTTTTGAATGTTAGCTGTTTTGAATTTTCGTAGTCACTTTGTTGGTTTTAAGAGTGCTAGTTGTTATTGTCTTGTTGAAATTTCTGGCACTAGAGACTTTTTTAGTTTGTGACGTTTTTGTTTGAATATCATCAAAAGGTACTTCGACGGGATCTTTAGTTGACCGTTTAGTGTCAAAATGTGTTTTTGTTTGAACACCATTAATTGCATTTCAGACGTACGGATCGGTTTTTTAGAGTGTTGGTTATTCAGTTTAATCATATTTTTATTAGAGATTCAATTGTTATTAAAATTTTACTTTTATCAGATAATATTCATTTTTGGCTTATCCAGTTCAGAAAAATTATGGAAATCGGTTTTGTAAACAGAATTTGGTTTTTAGATAATTGGGTTCGGGTAAAATGCTAACCCGAGTATGTCAAATTTTCACCATAAGTGGAAGTAAAAATATCTCTAGTGAAATCTGCGAAAAGAATATAACTACTGGGATGATGAAATATATATAAATAAATAATGGGATGTAGTTTCGGTTCTTAAAGCAACGTACGTATACATACAGCTATTTTCTTATTTTAGTTTTTTTTGTAAGAAAAACGTTATAGATATTTATTGTTGTTTTTTTTTTTTCAAAACTGGATAATAATAATTTATACAAGCATTTTTATTGTTAGCGACTTGGCATATTTTTCTCTTTTCCTATATATCATCATCACGTTTTATTACGTTTCTCTCATTTGATATTTGTCGAGTTAGAATCATATTAGTTGACTCCAACTCTTAACAGGATAATGATATTTGAAAAGTAAAACACACTTTTTTTTGTCCAAGCAGGATTTTTTGTTACGTAATTAATTTTACCTGTATGTCACATGTGGACATAGTTTACTTACAAGTCTAAACACATTATACCTTCTTTGGTATGATATTTCAACAATTAATATTCAATTTTGAATTTGCATGTGTTGTCGTACTTTTTATTATTGATGTATCAGTACATACGAAGAACTCCAATTACCAAAAGCCACAAAAGAATCAAATATCATACATCAAAAATTCGAAAACCTAAATTTATTTTTAACTTTTTTTTGTTGTTGTTGCTGCATAATTGCATTCCAGTGAGATATATGGTTATTAGTCTTATCAGAACCAAAAACATATGTATGGTTATTGGCTTTTAAAGATATGGACCCATGAAGGCATGAACTATACAAAAGTGACAATTTGGTAGATACATACACAAATAACGTGACACCAACTGAAAAACCCATAGGACAAAACAACACATATAAAATAAACAATTTGGGTTAGACTAGTCGTAGATATTTTGTTCCATAATCGCATTCGAACGAGAGTAAACAATAATTGAATCGAGTGGTAAGCAAATATGGTTATATATATATTAAAGATTTTAAAGATTTGGATCCATATTCTTAATTAGGGAGGTTGGTGGGTTGGATTGGTGTCGGTCTACTTCTTAGTTCTTACAATAATTTTTTTTCATCTCAATATGATTCTGAAATAGAATGCTGAATTCGTAAACCGAACCGATCTAGTCCCATATACTCTTAACACCATATACATAACATCAATAAATTTAAATAATACAGAAATAACAATTAGTAAGATAATATTCACAAGTTATATGACGTTGGCAATTTTGTATGAACACTCGAGGTTAATTAACGACCCAAATCATCATTCATATTCTAAATGGTATATAAGAGATATTTTGCTTCGATCGGTAGCAAGATTTTCACAACACATTGCCAGCAATATAAGAAAATGTAACAACCTCTCTAATAAGAGAGGAGAATCTTATAATTTATCATATAAAAAATTGCATATAATATACGAGGGTAATACTATAACAAGAAAGAGAAGACTTATATGATGATAGGCAAATTGTATATTCAACTAAGGACTAAGGAGACGCCACATAAAGCAGAAAGAGTTAGAAGAAACGTTTGTTGACCAATGACTTGATGACTCAGTAGCATGTGAACATAAAAAGAGACGTGTAAGCATCTCACTGGCTGAAGACAATATCTATTTTTGCTTCACTGCCTCATTTTCTCTATATAATGAAGTAAACAACACCCCTAATGGTCTCTTTAACTAAGTGTTTGTCTTTAACTCCTCGAGAGAAAATAACTTTTAAACATTAGCTTCTGAAGAGATTTTCAAGATGACCGGAGGAGGATTTGCAACTTCGGCGAACGGAGTGGAGTTTGAGGCAAAGATAACTCCTATAGTCATCATATCTTGCATCATGGCTGCTACCGGTGGCCTCATGTTTGGTTACGACGTTGGTGTTTCCGGTAAGAATATTAACATCTCTTTCTTTATGTATAATATACAATCCTTTTATCTTATATAATACAAAAAGTAAGAAGTTTTTTTTAAAGGATACATAAGTTTTTGTTAGTGCAAGTTTTCTCAAGAAATATTTTAAATAGGACTTGTACATGTTTTCAACTACCGCCTATAACTTCTTTGGTAGAACTATTTCACCTAACATATAGAGGACTAATAGAAAACAACTTTATCAAAATGAAATTCAGTAACTAGCTCAATGTTAATTATAAGTTAGTTAAAGTAAGAAAATAATCTAAAATCTTAGCTTACAAAATTTTGGCAACCAAAGATCTTGACCGTCCTTGTTTTAATAGTATATTGACAAAATTTGTGTCATATAGGTTTTTGTTCTTTTTGTTCATTGTACAACACACATGCTCAATGTTGAACATGGGTTATGACACATCAACATTAATAAAAAAAAATTGTGAGTTAAACGGTAAAAATAGCAAGAAAAAAGAAAATAATTTTCCATCATTGAAATGGCTATACGCAGGCGGAGTGACATCGATGCCGGACTTTCTCGAAAAGTTTTTTCCGGTGGTTTACCGGAAAGTACATGCCGGCACCGAAAAAGACAGCAACTACTGCAAATACGACAACCAAGGGCTACAACTTTTCACATCATCTCTATACTTAGCCGGTCTAACCGCAACGTTCTTCGCTTCATACACGACGAGGACGCGAGGACGGAGGCTAACGATGCTTATAGCCGGCGTGTTCTTCATCATCGGTGTGGCTCTCAACGCGGGGGCTCAAGACCTAGCCATGCTTATTGCTGGCCGAATATTACTTGGTTGTGGAGTTGGGTTCGCTAATCAAGCCGTTCCGTTGTTCTTGTCGGAGATTGCACCTACTAGGATCCGTGGTGGTCTTAATATTCTCTTTCAGCTTAACATCACTATTGGTATCCTCTTCGCCAATCTTGTCAACTATGGGACCGCCAAGTAAGTATCTCTTCCCTGATCATCTTTTGTTTTTTTTTTCTTGATAATATGAAAAAAATGTGTGGAAAATAATCTTAAGAGTTTAACAAAAAAAGATAAATCCATATTAATAATATATGGCGGTCATAATTTTAGAAATATGCTTTAATATGACACTATTGAAAAATATCTACATGAATTGTCTGTCTCTTTCATTTCACACAACCGTAAACTGTTGTAAGAAAAAAAAATTTCGTTGCATGTACTCTCTAAAGTATTAATTCCAAATTTTCTGATCGTTTTTGTCAAAATTTTTGGCTGTCTTCAGTGTGTATTTAAATTTAAATTTGAACTTTTTCAAAAATCAGATTTCTACATATTCAATTACCCTTTAACAAAAGAAAGAAGCATTTTTTAACTTTATAAGTAGATTTGAACAAAACAAAAAACTTTATAAGTAGATTAAAAAGTCTTCCGTGATTTCGGCAAATTCTATCCACATGCCTACGTCGTTATAGTCCCCTAACAAAAATTTCCCGGCGTCGACTTTAATGCATTATGATGATCTGTCACCTGTAGTTAATGGGCTTACGTATAGGCCCATTATTGAGTTTTAAAACGGCCCATTATTGAGTTTTAAAACGGCCCACTAAATAAATTTTGAATTGTTTGCAGGATTAAAGGAGGATGGGGATGGAGGTTATCGTTAGGTTTGGCGGGAATTCCCGCGCTTCTTCTAACGGTCGGAGCTTTATTGGTGACGGAGACACCGAACAGTTTAGTCGAAAGAGGTCGTCTCGATGAAGGTAAAGCTGTTCTTCGTCGTATTCGAGGTACCGATAATGTTGAACCAGAGTTCGCTGATCTACTCGAAGCTAGTCGACTTGCGAAAGAAGTTAAACACCCTTTTAGAAACCTTCTTCAACGTAAGAATCGTCCTCAGCTCGTCATCGCTGTCGCTTTACAGGTTAGTACTACCATTTCTCTGCTCTCTCGTAATCGGTGATCCGAAACCCTAAATTTTGATTCATTTTAGGACCAAGAACCCTAAATTATTTGTCAAGTTTCCATAATTTTGATTCTATATTGTTCAATTTCAGAGTTTAATTAATGGTAATCTTTTTTTTTGTGTGAAATTTGCAGATTTTCCAACAATGTACTGGAATCAACGCGATTATGTTCTACGCTCCTGTTCTGTTCAACACAGTAGGGTTTGGCAGTGACGCTTCTCTTTACTCTGCAGTGGTCACCGGAGCAGTCAACGTCCTCTCAACTGTAGTCTCAATCTACTCCGTTGACAAAGTCGGTCGCCGTTTTCTTCTCCTTGAAGCTGGTGTCCAAATGTTCTTCTCTCAAGTCGTAATCGCCATTATCCTTGGCATCAAAGTAACAGACCACTCTACAAATCTCTCCAAAAGTTTCGCAATTCTAGTTGTGGTAATGATCTGCACATACGTCGCTGCTTTTGCTTGGTCTTGGGGACCGCTCGGGTGGTTAATCCCGAGTGAAACATTCCCTCTAGAGACACGTTCTGCGGGACAAAGTGTTACTGTCTGCGTTAACTTGCTCTTCACGTTCATTATCGCGCAAGCTTTCCTCTCGATGCTTTGCCATTTCAAGTTTGGGATATTCATCTTCTTTTCGGCGTGGGTTTTGGTAATGTCTTTCTTTGTGATGTTCCTACTTCCTGAGACTAAGAATGTGCCAATAGAGGAGATGACTGAGAGAGTTTGGAAGAAGCATTGGTTCTGGGCTAGGTTCATGGATGATCATAATGATCAAGTGTTCGTGAGTGGTAAGAAGAGTAATGGTAAATCTAATGGCTTTGATCCTTCAACACGGCTTTAAAGTGGTTTAAGAGTCATAACTTAAGTAGAAGCAGAAGAGAGTGAAACAAGAGGTGGTAAACACACCAAACTAGAGAAAAGGAAATACAGTTTTTAAAATTTTATACAGTGTACTAAATTTCGTTACTTTAAACTGTGTTTGTGAATAAGTAAGTCTTTTTTTTTTTTTTGCTTTGTTGACTTGTTGTGGTTCTTAATGTAATCCCTGAGTTCCATTTCAGACAAGTGTGTGTGTGACAATATCCAAGTCTAATGTGCATTGTCGATTTTCTCTACAAAAAGATGGTAGCCTATGTTAATGGGCCGGAGATGGGTTTGTTTTGGGCCTAATGCAATTTTGTTTTTGTTGGTCTTGAAAGTCGAAATATAGACTAGTTTTGATGTTATACAGTCTCTAGTCTCTACTAAAATGCAGCACATCAGCAATCAAATTGCTTAAAATGTTGTTATAAAAGTTGACCCAAAAAAAGTATTTATAATAATTATATAATTTAAATTAAGGAAATCATGGTACCAAGATGTAGGAGGAAGAGTAACTGCAAAGTACAAATATTAAAAGATGATTCAAAATTAGCAGACCAACTAACTCACACCATTCTTTCCTTACAAGCCTTCCAAACTTTAAACCATGTGAACACTTGACAACATATAACAAATATAGTTTTTATGCTAAAAGTAAACAATCTTTGTCAGTATTTTGCTTTTTAGACACTCCTTTCTCCATATTAGCCAACTAACCAATAAAGATCAAGTGACCTCCTAATACATACGCACCACTCACATTCACATACCACACTGTATACACACACACACACACATAAAGAAAGAGAGAAATTCAAGGAAATCCTTGTGAGACTTTTCACCAAAGAAGAAGAAGAAGAGTGTGTGAGAGAGAGTTATTTGACCGATGGCGGCGAGGATAATGGCGGCTTTGGCGTGTATCTTGGTGATGCTACGGCTGAGTGAAGCGGCGGTGTATAAAGTCGGCGACTCAGCAGGCTGGACAACCATAGCTAACGTAGATTACAAGCTATGGGCTTCTACCAAAACTTTCCACATTGGTGATACTGTCTGTGAGTTCCTTCATCTTCTTAACTACATTAACATGAACAGATCTAGACTGTAATAATTCGGTCGGAAAATGGACCCCATCTAGCAATCTTAATTCTTAAGTGCATAAGCTTTAGGTGTAAAGTAAAGAGTACCACTCACGCCCAAAAGGGCTATATAAATATATATACCAAGATGATCAAAAATTTAGGATAAATACAAAAAGTGTCATTTTTGATATTTTTCATCTGCTAAAAGTACAAATGGTTATTATTATTAGTTCAGAACTGAGTTCAAAAACAGGGTTTTTAACTTATGAATTATGATTGATAAATTTTGAAATAAAACATGTGATTGAGTTTTTGGGCCAAAATATGTTATGATTTTTCTTTGGTTTAAATATGCTCACCTTTTTTTTTCTCAATGTATGCACATGTATAAATTGTTGTTACCTCTATGAAAATGTGAGTAAAACGTAAACTAATTTGATTTGGACAGTGTTCGAATACAACCCACAATTCCACAATGTAATGAGAGTGACGCACCCAATGTACAGAAGTTGCAACACCTCAAAGCCAATCTCCACGTTCACCACCGGCAACGACTCAATCACACTCACCAACCACGGCCACCATTTCTTCTTTTGCGGCGTTCCCGGCCATTGCCTTGCGGGTCAGAAGCTCGACCTTAACGTCCTCCTCCCGGCCTCCTCCACGCCACTCTCTGATCCACCAACTTCCTCCTCTCCTCCTCCGCCGACTACTATTCCTGCAGCCGGAGTACCTGGCCCTTCCCCTAGCCACGCCGCTTCTCCCCCGAGTGTGATGGCGACTCGAATCATAGCCGTGGTTGCTCTCCTAGTCTCTTTGGCCTTTACAAATTTTGCTTCTTAAATAGGATTATATATATTGGAATCATTGCATGTAAGTTTTTGTTATGTTTACTTCTCTCTTCCTTATGTTTTTTTTTTCTTTCAAATGACTCAAAATGTAGAGATGGTCCTTCAACAATAAAAATGTGTACTAACGATTAATTAGTACTTAATTTGTAATGGATAAATCCGTTAAAAATGATAGTATTCTTTTCCGTTATATTTTTTAAGTGATACATTCATTCTCAGATTTGAACTAGAGTAATGAGACAACGACGCTACTATTACAAACCACTAGGACCGATCGTGTAACTACATAAGTTCACTAAATTTGTTCGATAGTGGATTTTTTTTTCTAAATTTGTTTGTGACTTATAAATACATACACAATACTTGGGCCCAACACATAATAACTCGACCGAATTTATAGCCTAGTGGCTAGTGACTTGATGTAACACCATTCAACCCGACTTTCATATGATTGAGGATTGAGGTTTAAAACGGTCGAAAAAAACGCACAGAATTTTACTACCACTCTTCAACACTTTTTCTTAAGATGTGAAACTATTAGATTTTGGGCCCTTAACCGCCTAATAACTAAGTTGATAAGTTTTTCGAATATGTTAAATTATCCATATAAATAAAACACTCCAACAAGTTTCAATTCATTAAGAACAAAACAGAGAAAATATAAAAACACTCAGAAAACAGAAATATCGATTATCATCAACAACTTTGTCTTATTAAAAACTCATCAAACATCGCTTTATTCATAAGATTGTTTGATCTATGATAAAGAAGTAGAGATGTTTAAGCGGAGACGATGTTGGTCACGGAGACCTTAACCATTTCAGCTTCAAAGATAATGGCATCATTCACCAAATATCCTTTCGTTGCATCGTTTAAATCTGCTAACAATATGATATTGTTCACTCCCACGCCATAATCGCTTCGAATCGGATACCAAGCGGCAGCTGCAAAGAAAAAACAAACATATACCAATTTACATCAGCTGTTAGTTTCATTTATTGATGATTTTCTCTCCTGGAGATAAACTTTATTTTTTTGCCTATTTTGCTTACTATATATTTGTCTATGGTTGGTGCTTCGTTGATTTTTTAACCGCAGATTAGCCGCTCCCCAAGTGTTTGTAACAACTGAGTTTGCCTTATGGCCTTGAGCAAAGAGGAAGATTGGAAGTGCATATGGTCTTCCTCCTCCATCTCCCTTTGGGTTAAATCCTAGTCTCCTGATTATCCATTAACCAAAAAACCGTTATTATACTAGGCAACCGCGGAATGCACATAATAGTTGCAAGCTATGAGATCAATTAATTTGTACTTCGGTCTAAAAGTTCCGGTTTACCAAAAGTACTAACCAGTATCGGTCTTCAACGAGAAAATCGTCAGAGTAATAGAATTTATCTTCCAAGTTAGAGAAACGAAGTATCTTCCAAGTGAAAACATTGTCTGGAGGGTTTGATATGAATGTGACTTTCTCTTGTTGCTGGGCCGGGCTAACGATGAAGATCTCAGCACCAAAAGAACCAGTGTCTTGCTCAATGTACCCTTCGTTCGTGTTGTAAAATGTTGATTGAGGAATCAATTGTCCGTATCCCCACTCTTTTTTAGCATTGTTGTATCGCTTCACTAATCCATCTACAATCCACAAATTATGCAAAAAAAAAAACTCCAAATCACAATCAACTCTATTCATGTAATATTGAGACTAATATTTGAAATCTACATTTGCCAAGTAAAAGTAGCATTGGCTAGAAATAAACTTGGCCAATATATCTATAAATATATAATGGATCTAGTAAAAATCTATATACATTTATAAGTACCTGTAACAGTCAAATATTTGTATTGCTTCCCATTGTAGACAAAGAGTTTGAGATCAACATTCACTTCCCATCCTACTGGAAGAGATTCTGTCTCTTCGATCCTCGCGTAAAGTGAAATATGATCATTTCCACCGTCGTTTGGATTACCATTCACGTACAAAACCAATCTCCTGATATATTTATTTTTTCTTCTTAATAAACTCAAAAAAATTTAAATATTGTATAAAGTTAAAAAATGAGTGTAAGATATTTACCATTTGTAACCAGCAGCCTCAAAAACAGAGGATTCATAGGGTTCTCCTCTGCCTTTAATCACAGAGAAGCTTGTTATTGTCACTATCTTACTCGATGGTCGCTCTTCTCTCAACACTCTTGTCACTCCTATCAACCAAAAAAATTCCAAGAAAATCAAGAAATGGGTTTCAATTTTTAACCAAGAATCCAAAGAGTGACGATTTCAGACAACACAAGTGTACCAAGATTCGCCGTGAGACTGTAAGAACTGTTGTAATCTGCTCCTCTGCCCCCTGTGACCTGGATTTTTTTTTCATTGTTAAAATGCTACTTTTAAATCCATCGAAAAAGTACTTTGAATAAAAAAAAATACCTGTTGAATGAGAAATTCAGCTGAAGAGGAAGTGATGAAGAGAAAAGCGAGAGATATGAAAGCTAGACTCCATTTTTGATTATCCATTTTTTTGAGATCTGGTTTTTGGTTTTGGAAGTCTTTTACATTTATATATAGAGAGAGACATTTACAGTCTTAATATACTGAAAGTGGTCGTGGGTAATACAATACAGTATATGTTTACACATTCATTTTTATTGTTCTTGTTTGACTTTGAATGTTATTGTTATTTTAATGCTTTTTCTAAGTTGCCACTTCTATTATTAAACGATATTTCTATAGATTTTTGGGAGAGATCTCAAAGTAGTGGGTAACAAGTTTATCAAATTATTAAACAAAACGTTGTACGCGAGATCTTATTATATTGCAATGATCGACTCAGTGTCAATGGTAATATCACTATCACCGATTATCAAAATTTTATCCAGACACAATACAATTGGGGAAAGGTAGATATGGACAACTCAATACAATAGAACAATCCATATTATATTCATATATATTATTTTAGTTTTTTTTTTCCGTCATACTTTTCTAAATTTATATCTCTAGTTACATACTGTATTTTCAACCGTCTCTAGTGTCACTTAAAAATTGATGAGTATTATCACAATCTGACCTCAGACGAATCCAAAATTAACTGACACATTTACGTACTATTGTAGCTTATTGTGCTGGTGTAAATTGACATAAATAACCTTACAAAATAATTGAGTAGATATTTGTGAAACCTCTCTCATCGTTGCTTTCTCCTTCGATTCTGGGCAGCTCCGACGCATCAATCGTCACAAGCACCAACATCAAACTCGTCCCATCTCTGGCAAGCCACCATACCAACTCTTATCCACTAATCTTTGATGCCTCATATGAATTTGAAATCCAAAATCCTCGAAGTTGTTGGCAAAGTATCGCTAGAACCAGATCTGCAATGGCCAAGCAAATTTTGTTGATCGGCAAAATCGAATCCTCCATCTTCGGCGGTGAAAAAGCAAATCGCCACTGTAATTGTTTTGTAAGTTTTCTATAAAGTGAGAAAACTTATTATTTTTATTGTTAGTTATTTTCATTGTTATCAGGATAACATTGTTATTAATTATTATTGGCAAATATTATGTATGAGTTACACGTTAATATAAATATTAACCATATCGACTATCTTATCATGTTCATATAAATATTATTCAGATATTAAATATGTTAGCACGTTAACATTATATATAACATGTTATTATAATTGTTATCATATTCATTATGTAACAGAAAGACTAATTCTTTTTTATTGAACTGATATATACATAAATAAAAAATACTGATTCATAAATTTAAATCGATAAACATGCAATTAACACATAATATGTAAACTTATCGTGATACCATATGTTTTAGCATGTTAACCAAATAGTTACACACTAAACAAACAAATGTTTAACTATATCATCTGATGAATAGTATTGTCGGTCTTGTATGAACAGTGTCAGCGAGCGGTTTATGAACAGTGTAACCGGTGTATTACATCGGAAAATAATTTATTAGATCAATGGCATTTTGTGTAATTAAGTTAAATAGGAAGGATATTTATGGTTTACTTTTGTTTTCTCTTTCCTACATACTTGATTTTCAAATTATTAATGCTACAAAACTAATAAACTATTCTTTTATGGTTTTAAATTTTATTGACCCAAAATTGATCCTAACTTCTATTGTTTTGTATGATCAAACCTATATGTCCAAACTAGTTGACATGTTTCCTACCAAAAAAAAAAAAACTAGTTGACATGTCAGAACCAAATATCACACATATCCAACATTTAAAAAAAAAAAACTATTTTCGTTCTCTTAAACCTTGGGATCCTTAATGATCTCACCAATACGTTATAGAATTCTAACCCCACTTATCATCAAATTAACATCGCCAAATCAATGTTCTCCGAGTTGATTTTTGTTTCTTCAATTAGCTTCTATGTTTGATTTGTCCTTTCTTCGAATTCTCGTTGAATTCTGTATTGGGATTTACTCCACTTTAGTTTTACCTTTTCAGTGGCGATTCCACATGTTACTCGGGGATATGAGGACGTAAAGTTGTCCTGAATAATCATAAATTTAAATAAAAAACTAATATCCTTTATTTTTTACCGGGGGTACATGACCCATTGCTTCTAAGATAGTTCCATCATTGGACCTTGGTATGAGCTAGAGGGTTTAGTGTTTTCCACTTTGAATTTGACTTGTCCTCTCCGTTTTGAATATATGTTCTTCTCAAGACCCTGTTTTCTAACATTTGGCAAAAAAAAAAACATATAGTATACAAACACAACACTAGTTCAATTCCGAAAACATCACACACTGCGAAAGTCTTTATGCCTTCCTTAATCTGCAGAGCGTGGCTACACCAAACTACATTGGTTATACTTTAGCAACTTTCTCTTAATATCACAAACATTTCATCAACCACTAGAGCTCTTAAATTAGGGTTCCTTATGTGGTTTCCTAGCCGAAATAACTAATTATCTATCCATATTAATTCTTCCACATATATACACACAAAAAAACTACCATGCCATCATTTACGTGTTTTAAACTCATTTTGTCTATTGATTCTGCTAAGTTAAATCCTTATGTGACATACTAAAGCTTTTATGGACTCAAGTATTTAACTCATGATCCACATTCATATGAGGTCCTAAATAAAATAAAAACAACAAACAACTTCATCCCCGAGGATCACCTCTTTAGTTGCCGGATGCCGAAACTCAAACCTTCCTCACAATTCCAACATGATTCTTTTGGGTTCTTTTGGCTACGAAAAATGAAACTATAACGAAATCGTAAAGCTATTTATGTTTTCCAATAGTTGAATTTATTTTACAATTAAACCCTCCAGATTTCCTTAACATGGATCTTTAAAATAGTTTAAAACCAAGACAGTTTTATACCTTTATTTCATTGATAACAAAACAGGAGAAAAAAGAAAACTCGAAGAACAGAAACAACGATTACATCAAAAGCATCAGCAACGTCGTCGTATTACAAATTAAACTCATCAAACGTCTCTTTATTCGTAAGGTTGTTTTGTTGACAAAGAAGTAGAGATATTTAAGCGGAGACGATGTTGGTCACAGAGACTTTAACCATTTCAGCTTCAAAGATAATGGCATCATTCACCAAATAACCTTTCCTTGCATCTTTTAGATCTGACATCAATATGATATTGTTCACTCCCACACCATAACCGCTTCGAATCGGATACCAAGCTGCAGCTGCAAAGAAAGAAAGAAAATACAATTTATATCAGTTACTACTTACTCTTCGAGATAAGCTTCTTCTATTTTTTGGTTAGTTTTCTTACAATATAATTGTTTATGGTTGGAGCTTCGTTGATTCTTTAACCGCAGATTAACCGCTCCCCAAGTGTTTGTAACAACTGCGTTTGCCTTATGGCCTTGAGCATATAGGTAGAGAGGGAGTGCATGTGGTCTTCCTCCTCCGTCTCCTTTCGGGTTAAATCCTAATCTCCTGATTATACATCAACAAAAAAAAAACCGTTATTATACTTGGCCACTGCGGAATTCACATAATAGTTGCAACCTTTGAGCTTAGTTTGGATTTTACTCAAACGAATAGCACTAACCAGTATCGGTCTCCAACGAGAAAATCGTCAGAGTAATAAAATTTATCTTCCAAGGTAGAGAAACGAAGTATCTTCCAAGTGAAAACATTGTTTGGAGGGTTTGATATGAATGTGACTTTCTCTTGTTGCTCGGCCGGGTTAACAACGAAGATCTCAGCACCAAAAGAAGCTGTGTCCTGCAAATAGTACCCTTCGTTCGCGTTGTAGAATGTTGGAAGAGAAATCAATTGTGTGAATCCAAACTCTTTTTTCGCATCGTTGTATCGCTTCACTATTCCATCTATAGTCCAAATCAAAATCACAATCAACTCTGTTCATGTATTAATGAGACTAATATTTGAAATTTACAATAATTGCCAAGTAAAAGTAGCATTGGCCAATATATCTTATAAATATATAATGGATCTAGTAAAAATCCATTTACATTTGAAAGTACCTGTAACAGCCAAATATTTGTTTAGCTTCCGATTGTGGACAAAGAGTTTGAGATCAACATTCACTTCCCACCCTCTTGGAAGAGATTCTGTCTCTTCGATCCTCGCGTAAAGTGAAATATGATTATTTATACCACCTTTCTGATTACCCTTCACGTACAAAACTAATCTCCTGATTTTTTTTCATCAAAATTAGCTCAACAAATATAATTAAAGTTAGGGAAAAAAGGAAAGAAAGTGGATAGAGTGTAAAATCTTAACCATTTGTAACCAGCAGCCTCAAAAATAGAGGATTCATATGGTTCTCCTCTGTCCTTAATCACAGAGAAGCTTGTGATTGTCACTATCTTACTTGATGGTCGCTCTGCTCTCAACACTCTTGTCGTCACTCCTATCAACAAAAAATAATTCCAAGAAAATCAAGAAATGGTTTTCAGTTTTCACCAAGAAAATTCAAAGAAAGAAAATAAGTATACCAAGATTCGCCGTGAGACTATAAGAATTGTTGTAGTCTATTCCTCTGCCCTCTGTGACCTAGATTTTTTAAAATTTCATTGTTAAAAACTACTTTTAGTAAAAAAGCCAATCCATTAAAAAAGAGCTTTAAGAACAAAAAATAATAATAATACCTGTTTAATGAGGAACTCTGCTGAAGAGGAAGTGATGAAGAGAAAAGCAAGAGATATGAAACCTAGGCTCCATTTGTGACTATCCATACTTTTTATTTTTTGTGTTGTTTTGTTTTGGTTTGGGAAGCCTCCACATTTATATAGACCTAGATTACTTACTGATCGAGTTTAGTTACTAATAAAAAAAAATACTAAAAGTGGATTCTTCATGGGAAAAAATATATTTGTTACACATTCATTTCTATTATTTTATCAGATTTCGTTCTTTCCATATCTCATTGTTGGACTTTCAATGTGTAAAGTATCAGATTTCGATTTGGTTATTGTTATTTTAATGCTTTTTCCAAGTGCAACATGTCTATTTTAAACGATATCTCTACGGATTTGTGGGAGATCTCGAAGTAGTGGGTGGCAAGTGTTCAAAATATGAACAAAATTTTAAGCAAAACGTTGTACACGAGAGATATAATATTATTGCAATGATCGACTCAGTGTCAATGGTATATCACTATCACCGAAGAAATCATAATTATCCAAATTTTATATTAGATACAACGTCCATGTTCAATTCGAAGCTTTTGGGTCCACTGGGGAACCGAAAACTGCATAGAAAATATCTCTCCTCGTCATTCAAAATAAATAAGTTATCTAAAATTTATTTTTCGATTTAGAAAAAATAAAATAAACAAAAAGACAAAAAGGTGTGGTTTGTTGTAGTATCTTTTATTTAATTTTTTCAGTTTTTTTTATCTCATCGTAAACGAAAGCTCGTAAAAGAGTATGAATATGATACAGACCTTTTAAAGCCCAAATAAACTCAAATACATATAAGACACGTGTTAGATACAAAACATAGTAGATCCCATACGTCAGATGTTGCTAGAAAATCATTGAAACACCATTGATAAAAATTGATTGCTCAGAACCACTTCTTTACGATGGCAAACCAAATGGAGACGCTAACGTGTAGATGAAAGCTTGAAATCATACTCGTTGAACCATTATATTGGATTTACCTAAAGAGTTTATACAATTCAATCCATACTCCAAGAAGAAGCTCCGCCTAAGACCTAAAGATAAGGTCAACTTCGATCACAAACGACGAATATTTAACAGCGAAGATATTACTCTAACTTGGGAGAAGAATCAAGTTGATGGCTAATCAAATCAAAAGCAAACAGGATTTGTATTAATTTTCTGTAGAAATAGGAAAGAACAAAAGAGATATAATTCTATCTTAGTCGACAAACGAAATAAACTAAGACGAAATTAAACTGACTAAGAAGAAAGATAATGTATTTCACCAATTAGCCATAAAATGTATACCTGCTTACAGATTTCTTCTAGTATATTCATCTAGTGGTCAAATTGTTCAAAACGTATACATTGAAAAATGTAGATCAGGGCACGCATTCGAAAGCTAAAAAATTATACCATGGAAATCGAATTTATAGCTTACTGACCATTCAACCCAATTTTTCCATATGGTTGAGCTTTAAAAATGGTTCAATAGACCTAGGAGAAAAAACGGACAGGATTTTACTTTACTTTTTCCTAAGTTCAATCTAGATTTTGGTTATATTTATTTTTTGGTTAGTCGATGTCATAATTATAGAGAATAGTATGAATAAAATTATAATTTGCATCATACGACTTAGATTTTTTTACATAATTAGTATCTTTTAAAAAAGTATTCAATACTTTTTCTTTTGGGTTCTGTTTGAATTTGGCTACAAGAAATTGAAATTATGTGAAGTAAATTATAAGTTTACTCCAAATAGGTCGTGTTTATCCATAAAATTAACACTTCATGTCCCCAACATTTTTCAAAAATTTTAAAAACGTGAGAGTTTCATTTTCATAGATAACAAAACAGAAAAGGCAAAACTCAGAAAAACAGAAACAACGACTACATCACAAACCATTAACGTGTCTTATTACAAACATCTCTTTCTTCCTAAGGTTGTTTGAAGTATGGTAAAGAAGTAGAGATCTTTAAACGGAGACGAGGTTCGTCACAGAGACCGTAAGCATTTCAGCTTCAATGATAATGGCATCATTCACCAAATATCCTTTCGATGCATCCTTTACATCTGCTAATGGTATAGTGTTCACTCCCAAACCGTATCCGCTTAGAACCAGGTACCAATATTCAGCTGCAAAGAAAAAACAACATAAACAGATTTACATTAGCTATTATTAGTTTCATTCATTGTTGATTTTCTTTCTTGGAGATAAACTTTTTTCTTTGGTTAGTTTTCTTACTAAATGATGTTATGTGGTTGGTGTTTCGTTGATTCTTTAACCGCAGATTAGCCGCTCCATAAGTGGTTGTTTCAACTGCGTTTGCCTTAAATCCTTGAGCATATAAATAGATTGGGACTAAACCTCCTTTCGGGTTAAATCCTAATTTCCTGTTATACATTAACCAAAATCCTTATTATACCCAGGCCACTGCGAAAGTCACATAACGATGAGATCCACATTTTTTTTTTTTTGAATACCATGAGTTTTTTGGCCAAAACCCGTAATCCCCCAGGCCCGAAACCGCAACATGTAATATTAGTTTCGTCCCAAGCGTCACTCGAACCGGCGACACTTGGTAGATGAGATCAATATTATGAATCATTATGTAATATGATGAGATCAAGTACTAACCAGTAGCGGTCTCCAACAAGAAACTCGTCAGATTTATAGATTTTATCTTCCAAGGTAGAGAAATGAAGTATCTTCCAAGTGAAGACATTGTTTGGAGGGTTTGATATGAATGTGACTTTCTCTTTTAGGTTGGCCCGGTTAACGATGGAGATCTCAGCACCAAAAGTACCAGTGTCCTGCTCACGGAATCCATCGTTCCCGTCGTAGTATGTTGATTGAGGAATTAGTTGTCCGAATCCCAACTCTTTTGTCGCATTGTTGTATCGCTTCACTAATCCATCTACAATCCACAATATAATTATGCAAAACACAATCAACTCGGTTCATGTATTAATGAATCTTGGTCAATATTTCTATAAATAATGTGATGGATCTAATATTTGTTTAAAGTACCTGTAACAATCAAATATTTGTTTAGCTTCCCATTGTAGACAAAGAGTTTGAGATCAACATTCACTTCCCATCCTATTGGAAGAGATTCTGTCTCTACAATCCTCGCGTAAAGTGAAACATGATCTTTTCCACCGTCGTCTTGTTTACCATTCGTGTACAAAACCAATCTCCTGATTTATTTATCTTTTCATCAAAATTAGCTCAGAAAATATAACTAAATAAAATAAAAAATGGATAGAGTGTAATTTAAGATCTTTACCATTTGTAACCAGCAGCATCAAAAACAGAGGATACATAGGGTGCCAATATATTCCTAATTATTGAGAAGCTTGTTATTGACAGAATCTTATCCGCTGGTGGCTCATCCCTCCACACTCTTGTCAGTCCTATGAAGAAAACAAATTCCAAGAAAATCAAGAAAATGGTTTTCAGTTTTAAGTTTTAACCAATAAAATCCAAAGAAAGAATATAAACTGTACCAAGATTCGACGTGAGACTGTTGTACTCTATTCCTCTGCCTTCTGTGGCCTAATTTTAGTAAAAAATATTAGTTTTATTCATTGTTAAAAACTACTTTTTAGTAAAAAAAAAACACATATCGATAGAAAAAAGTGATTAAGAGTAAGAACCTGTTTAATGAGGAGCTCAGCGGAAGAGGAAGTGATGAAGAGAATAGCTAGAGATATGAAAGCTAGACTCCATTTTTGAGTATCCATAGTTCTGAGATCTGGTTTTTGTTTTAGTAAGGCTTTACATTTATATAGACAGAGACTATTAAGGTAACTTATTGGTCGAGTTTAGTGACAAATATAAAATACTGAAAGTGGACTTTTCGTGGAACCAATAATCCACAAATTCAATTTTTCTGTAAAGTGTCAGATTTGAGATTTCGATTTGGTTATAGTTTATTTTATGTCTATCTACTATACATTTTTGCAACACTTTTAAGGAATCTAATCGGGTCAAAATTTTGTTTAATTTTGACCCGAAAATCTTCAATTGGATCTTTCCTTATTTTTGACAAAATTAAAAAACGAAATTAATCAATAAAATCTAAAAAATATATATTTTCTTAACTAATTACTATACCTAAACTATTTATTTATGGCATATTCTCTACAATTTTTATAGATATGGAAATCAAATATGATTATTTAATGCTAATATAACAAATTTGAACTAATTTCTTAAAACCTCTCTACCTAATTAAAACATAAATATATGATTCTCATTTCACTTTTATATGAATTTATATTTATATTATTTTGAACTATTATAAAATATATACTTAATAAAAAATTTCAATTTTTTCTGCATATGTTATGATTCAAAAATTTTTAAACGGACATATATTACTCAATCGATGAAGATAAAAAGTATGTGTACAATCTATATTAACATTTTTGAAGAACAAATTTGCGCGTTTAATCAGGTCGTATTTTTTTTTTACTCTGACCCGGAATTGAGTCATTCAGATATTTTCTTAATTTCTACAATTATCTAAAACGGGACAATATACTACGGGTGAAATCTTAAAATTAACAAATCGAAATACAATTATTTAGTATTTTAATATACATTTTTAAAATATTTTTACGGATTGGTCCAAAAACACACACTAATTTAAAAATATATATATTATGGAAATTATTTGAAAGCAAACTTTTAAATTGACTCGAATTATATATCTTTTAAATAAAAGTGTTATTAAAAGAAATAACAAAATGATGTTTAATTTTACGGGACATGATTATATGGTGGGACGGGTCGGGTTTGGATTGATATTAATACGGGATAATATATCATGGGTGAAATCCTGGGATTAACAAATCAAAATACAATTATACAATTTTAAACACTAAACAAAACAAATACAACTTAAAATTTTTATTTTTAGTTACAACGCATGTGACTCGCAGTGTACAACAAAAAAATATTATATACAACAAATTTATCAGTTTATAAAAAGATAAAAAATCAAATAATTAACCCGCGGGGTCATATCCTAGTTATTAAACAAAATTTCTGCGGATTTGGTTGAGATTTCGAAGTAGTGGGTGGGAAGTGTTCAAAATATGAAGTTTTAAGCAAAACGTTGGCCACACGAGATGTTAAAATATTGTATCACTAATTCACTATCACCGAGGTTTGATAATATCCATATATTGTTAAAATAGTATCACCAAACCCAACTATATCAATTGAGTAAATTCATCCATATAGTTTTATATTTATTTTTTTGGATTTCCAAACACGGTAGACTCGACTTATCTAATCATTTATCTAGTCAAAATTTTATTATATAATTAACTAGTGATGAATCTAGGCTATGACCGAACTTAAAAATATCATTTTAATTCAAGAAGATATTTTAGTTTCATGAATCATGATGGGTGAGTACGTATTTTTTTCATTGTTGATTAAATTTTGGGCTTGGCTGCATTTAACTGAAAGAATTAGGAAATCAGAAATAAAAAATAGTTTTCCATATAGTCTGAATAAGTTTTACATTACATTTGTGTCTATATGCTTTTGTCAAACTCCATGATATCACTTCTATCTAAAACTATGAGATTCTTGTTCTTTTTTGGTATAGCAATGAGTGCAAAATTGGACCGGATCACTTAGTTAACGTCTCTCTCATATTGACGTTGGCTCTGTTCCAGTCCCCTTCTCGTACGTCCTCATCTCTTCCTACTATTAAAAGTAAGGTTTTTTTTTACTTTTATAATTTTTACTTTGCTCCAATTCCTTATTTTTACGGTTTAGCACTTAATTATTATTTTTATTGAATTTAATGTTAAATTAATATTCAAATAAAAACTCAACATGTATAGAACTGTTTCTACTTTCTAATGTATAACCAGGAGATTAGGGTTTTAACCCTAAATGAAACGGAGGAGGAAGACCACATGCACTCCATATTATACCTATATGCTCAAGGCTTTAAACCAAACACAGTCGAAGTGGTGCATGCTTTAAGTTTATTAAAAAAAACCCGGTAAGTAGATTCTTCGACAGTTTAACTCACCTTAGAAAAATTAGTCGAATGGTTCAAATCTGAATCACTCCCTGTTTATCAAAAAAATATATATACAAACACAAAAATAATTCTCTTAAAGTATTTAATATATATAGATAGATATATCATGTAGAATTATTTTTAGTTCTCTAATACCATCACTTAAAAATCATACCTTTCTTTTTGGGGGTGAAAAGTTTTCTATTAAGTTGCAAAAGAGAAAGAATACGTTTGGCTAGCTCGGTTCACATTTTTCCTCCAAAATTATTATATATTCTCATGCATATCGCCCATACGTGTAGTCGTTCTGGTGTTTACAACTAATGTCATATGTGTCCATCTAAAACCGAAATGCAGTTCCATGTGCTACCAATTAAATGACCACATGCATTCATGCAATGTACCTCTCAGACCATGTACATAGGTGAAACAATTAGAGTATCAAGAACCCAAATATAATTTTTTAATGGATCAGACACTACATTTGGGCCTGATCCGTATCACTGGAGTGATACTTTTGATACCCAGTATCGAATGACGTGGCGGTTTCTTATTGGTCCCTGAAACTCGTTTTTTTTTTCTTAAAAAAAAAAAAAAAAAAATCTCATTCTTCTCTCCTCTCTGTCGCGAGAAAACCCTAGAAACGCGATGGAGAAATCGATTTCTTCTCCTCCACCGATCTTCTGCCTCCGCTCCCTCCGTTTCTTCTCCGGCTTCATCTCTTCGATCTATTTCACCTCTCCGTTTCTTCTCCGGCTTCATCTCTTCGATTCTATTTCACCTTTCCTCCAGCGATTTTCGATTTCTCCTCTCCTCCGCCGATCCTAACGAGTTTTGATTTGTGCTTCTCTCCTCTCCTCCGCTCCTCCTGCTGTTAAGGCCACTAATAAGCCTTTGAGCTTCTTCTTGATCGCAAAGCTGAGGTTGATCCTAAAGATTGTTGGGGAAGCACTGTAAGAAGAAACTAAACCAATCACTTCTTTTTTTGTTTTGTTAATTGTCTCTCTCTGGTTATGTTGTGTAATGATGGATTATATAGATAGATGATAATGATGATGATGATGTTTGTTAGTATTCTAATACGTTTTAGAAAACAGCCATTTGCAGATGCGATATTTTACAAAAACATTGATGTAATCAAGATTCTTGAGCTACATGGTGCTAAACATCCGGTAAGAATCTAGCTGAATATTGAAAGTTTGTTTTGGTGTTTGATTGTATCTCTTCCTGTAATAGCCATTGGAAGATAGGGTGTTTTTTACCTCATTATTGTTGACACATTTGTATGTTTCAGATGGCTCCAATGCATGTCAAGACTGCTCGTGAAGTCCCTGAATATGAAATCGGTCCTAGTGAGCTTGATTTCACTCAAAGCAAAGAGATATCAAAGGTAAAAACATGTCTCTGTCTCCAATGGATCTTTTATCGATAATTTCGAGTCTTTTTGTCTAACAGTGTGAAGATTCTTGATTCAGGGAACTTACTGTATGGCAATGTGGCGTGGTATTCAATTTGCTGTGAAAAAGCTCAATGATGAAGTTTTGAGCGATGACGATCAAGTGTAAGTAAATATCTTGTAGACGGTTCTAAGATTTTGGATTCCTATTCCTTACCATAATCTCTGTATATGTTTGTGTAGGAGGAAATTCCACGATGAGCTTGCATTGCTCTAAAGGCTTAGGCATCCAAACATTGTGCAGTTCCTTGGTGCTGTAACTCAAAGTAATCCAATGATGATTTATCTCGTACTTGTAGTATCTTCAGTTTTCTGTTTGTTGATCACTTATTTCACTTATGAACTGTGTTTTACTAGTATTGAAACTAGTTGTATTTGTTTAATTTAAATAGCCTTCTGCTACCAAGAAGGCTGCTGCTACCAATATTGGTATTTTAGTAGTAAAATGTATGGTCGACAATATATTGGTCAGAAGCTATTTGTTTTTAGTGTATGTGTATTATTGTGTTCTCATATTTCTCAATGTATTATATATATAAGTTGTTGTGTTCTCATATTTCTCAAAACAATTCTTCTTAAAACGATTCTTCCTCTCTCTTTTTTTCTCAATACAATTCTTCTCCAAAACGAATCTTCCTCTCTCATATTTCTCAATACAATTCTTATAAAACAAGTCTTTGTTTCTTTCTCTAAAAACAAGTATTTTCTTCCTTTTCTAAAACAAGTCTCTTTTATTTGTAATCCTATGTTTTAATATATTAATTTTTGATTTTGCAAATTTTTTTTTTTTATGATACTTAAACCGGTCTCACCAATGCAAACATATTTAGTAGGAGTATCATAAAAAATCTCAAACAATAAACAAATCTTATAAATAATACTAAAAAATTCCAAATGATACTATATGGGTATCACTCATATACATGCTCTCAGTATTCAGATTTTTCTGTGTAGATAAAAAAAAAAAAAAGGCAAAAGCTCTAATATGAAAAAAAAAAAAAAAAAAAAGCTCTATTAATATACTCTAACTAGACCATCTTCATAATTGGTCATCAAAATGAAAGGATTTTTGAAAATGAGAGTGTCTTTAATTGTTTGAATTGTAAAGATTTTGTATCTCCTCAAAGATATTTTAGACACAAAATCTCTACTATTTTACGTCATTAAAGACACTCTCATTTTTAAACACCCTTTTATTTTGATGATCAATGAGGATAGTCTTATTTATGTTATAGTTTTTTTCTTTATACATCTGGATTCTTCTTTTTTTTTTTTCTTTTTGGGCTAACTATTTTTGTTCGCTGTCAAAAAAAAAAAAACTATTTTTGTTTTTAATATAAAATTAAAAAATCTCAAACCGAAATCCAAACTAAAATTAGAAACAAGTGGTCCACCGAATATTTTTGGGGAAAAGTATCAAAAAAAAGCACGAAGTTTCAAATTTGAGATGAAAAAGTGTATACTTTCCAAATGTCATTTCAATCCTAAAGTTTAGTTTGACTTTTTGATAAAATGGTCAAGTTTCGTTGACTTACCATTTCGGGCATATCGTTAACTTTTCGTTAACCAGACCTTAATGGGGTTAATTTTCCGTTAGGAATCTCCGTTAAATCGAAACGACGTCGTTTTGAATAGTTCTTTAAAAAATAATAATGAAAAACTGTGTCTAGGTGGAATCGAACTACTGACCTTATGGACACATTAGAGAATCTCAACCATTAAAATACGATAATATTTTGATTTAATAGCAAATAAAAGCGTCTATATATATATATGAACTAAAATTCATACAATCATATATATATATATATATATATATATATATATATATATATTAAATGCATTGAATTTTATATATAAACATAAACAAATATTAAATATACTAAGCAAAAATATTTAATTTTACATATAAAGATTTCTTTTTTATAAACATATACAAATATTATATATACTTATCACTTTTTCTTATAATTTTATAAAAATGATTCTTTTTATAAACTTCCAATCTAACTATAAATATCACATCAATTTCAAGATGGAATAACTATGTTTTATATTTATCTAATATATATTATACTATAAATACAAATAAATTTATCAAATATATGTATTTTATTATAAATAAAATTATTTATAAAGTTAAATTGAATAAAATTCTATGTACATGTATAAATTAATCCTATATTTATATGATAAAGATTGTATGAATTTTAGTTCATATATTTAATTCTTTATATTCCATAAGTTTCAGTTTTTTTATAATTTAGGAAAGAATAATTTTCCAAATATAGAAGAAATCTTTATATATCAAAATTAAATATTTGAAATTTAGAAATATATATTTATGGTAAATAAATTTAATATTTTAATATTTTTTGTTTATGATTTATTTTTAGTTCTGTTATTTTTAATTAATTGCATATATTTTAATTTATATTATTTTTTTAGTATATACACTTTGTTTATTATAATTCTACAATGTTATCGTAGTTCAATGGTTGAGAGTTTTCAGTGAAAAAATCTCGTTTTGTTCGTTTTGATTGAACGAAGATTTCTAACGGAAAGTTAACCCCGTCATTGTCTCGTTAACGGAAATTTAACGACATGCCTAAAATGGCCAAATCAACGAAAATTTGACTATTTTTCTAAAGTCAAACTAAACGTTATGAAAGTTCGTGCTTTTTGCGGCATTTTTCCCAATATGTTTGGGTGATAAACTGATAATTTAACGAAGATATTAAAAAAAAAAAAAGATAATTTAACGACATGGATCGATCGGTGATAAGAATGTGACAGTTTCACCTAGGCCTGGGCAAAAAAAATGCTAACCAAATAACCGACCGAACCGAACCAAAAAAAACCGAACCATATCTGAACCGAAGTTTTCAAAATAACCGAATGGTTAGTAAAATCCCTTATCCAAACTAGCCGAAACCAAACCGAACCGAACCGATAACCAAATGGTTAACCGAAATATCCAAAAACCTATAACATACCTAAAAATAATACACAAAATTATAATTATAAACTCAAAATATTAATTATTTTTAGATTCAAGACAATCAAATACTTTAAATAATCAAAATATTCAAATGTTGTTTGTTATATTTGTCAAAGTTAAAAATTCTTTTACAAAATTGAATCCAATTTTAAATTTCTTTCTAATATTTTTCTTTTTTTTTGTATTTTATATTTTTATTTTTTTTGGTTAATTTCAGTTAGTTTCGGTTATATTCGGTCAATTTCGGTTTTTGGGTAAAAACTCGAACCAAACCGAACGTGATAAAATTTTGTTTAGTTACGGTTATCTATTTAAATATCCAAACCGAACCGAACCGAAAAGTAACCGAACCGAACCAAAATTCCTAAAATATCCAAATGGTTATTATATTATCATATCCGAACTAACCGATACGGAACGCAACCGAACCGAAACCGAACGGTTAACCGAAAGCCCAGGCTTTCACCCACAGTGTAATTGTGTAAAACAACACTTAATTTATTATGAACAATATTTGTCTCGTAACAAGTGGCTTAAAACAAATAACAACTGTATAACCATGGAGTTTTTTTTATTTAAGATACCAAACCTGAAGAAAGCATATTATAGTACAAGAATCAACAAGTTGGTCTCTTCTCTTATTACAGTATGTTGTTCCCATATAAAAAAAAAAAAAAATGATTAGAGAAAGAATGTGATTAATCAACAAGCTCAATCAGTTCTCTTCTCTACGTCATGCTCATCTTCCTCAAGCATAAACCTCTTCCAGTACCAATGTAGCTTCCACACGCTATCTCTCATGTCATCGATCGCGACTCCTTTCGTCTCCGGCACGAAGAACAAAGCGAAAAGTCCCATCACAACGATCCAACCACTGAAGAAGAAGAATATACCTGACTTCATCCCGCAAAGCATCGATAAGAAGGCCTGAGCGATCACGAACGTGAAGAACATGTTGCATGACACGGCCAATGCGAACCCTTCGGTTCGAGTCTCCACCGGGAAGGTCTCACTAGGGATTAGCCATCCTAGAGGGCCCCATGACCAAGCGAAACCCATCACGTAAACGCACACGAAGATCACCACTACTAGGGCTTGTGGCCTTCCTAGTGTACCCGTCACGTCTAGATCCTTGGCTAGGATGATTCCAATGACCAACTGTTTTGAGAAAGTTGTTAGTTTAGAAGGATTGCTTGCGAGACAAGAAACGTTAAGTGACCTAATGTTACTTTACTTAGGGGAGAAGAAACAAATAGAAGAAATATTACCTGGCAGACGAGCATGTGAACGGAAGATTGGAGCAACAGAAATCTCCGGCCTGTTTTGTCGACGAGGAAAATCCCGACAAACGTGCTGAGAACGTTGATAGTTCCCGTGATAACCGCGGAAAGCAGAGCTGCGTCATTTCCAAACCCTACGGTCTGGAACAAAACCGGGGCGTAGAACATAATTGCGTTGATTCCAGTGAATTGTTGGAAAAACTGGAGCAACATTCCTATCACGAAAGGCGGTCGGCTCGCGGGTTTCATCAGTTTCGTGTAAGGGTCCTTGACCTGCCTCGCGAAATCACAAGCATGGACGATTGATTCATACTCCTCATCAACATCTTCAACGCCTCTAATCTTCTTGAGAGTTTCTTTGCCTTCCTTGGTTTTGTTCCGTTCGATGAGACTTGTCGGTGTTTCGCAGATGAGAAGCGATCCGAAGAGGAGGATGAGCGCAGGAATTCCCGCGCCACCGAGAGCAATTCGCCATCCGTAAGGATGAATTGAGGAGGTGAAGTAGTTGACTATGTTAGCGATTAGGATTCCAATTGTAACCATTAGTTGGAAAACAATGTTGAGACCTCCACGAAGTCTCGCCGGAGCAATCTCTGATAAGAAAAGTGGTACCGCCTGCAAGAAATTGGGACACATGTTCTATATGCTTAGTCAATAAAGAAAACCTTAAAATTCAAGATCTCATAAAAACTAAGAGGAACTTAAACTAAACGAGACCAAGATTTTTGAAACCGGAACCAAACCAATTACACACCAAATCGAATAAACCAAAATATACATCTTGCAACTAATCTTGAAATGAACAAGATCATAAAAATTTTACCTGATTACCAAAGCCAACTCCAAATCCAAGCAAAATTCTACCAAAGATCAACATGTATATGTTAACAGCTCCCGCGGCTAGGCCAACACCGATCAAGAAGAAGATGGAAGCGAGCTGCATTGTGGGTCTACGTCCGAGCTTAGAGCACGTAGCGGAAGCAAAGAAGCTAGCCACTAGAGCCGCAAGGTATAGAGAGGATGTGAAAAGCTGCAAGAACTGGTTGTCGTACTTGCAATAGTTGTTCTCATGCGCATGCTTCTTCCTCTCATACACAGATGGGAAAAATTCCTTCAAGAAATCGTCCATCGCCGTTACTCCACCTGTTTTTTTTTAATGAAATTTGGTTAAGTATATG